ATGGTTTTAGGACCGCCAGACGTAAAGGTGTTTTAAAATCGAGAAAAATAAAATAGAGTCGCCACCAATCTTTGTTAGGGTGTGATTGGCCATCCAAAAGTTTATCTTTTTAATAAAACTATAAAAATGGGTTTAAGGTTTATCAAAAAGATAAATTTTGGTCTACGAATAACCAGGTGGGTTCGAGAGTCGGTTACGTGTGGGGAAGGATTAGCACCCCCACAACGCCCATAAATTGGTACCATTTAATTACGCGTTATTTTCGGTGTTGGATAAAAATGGTTTTAATTTGAAATTTAATACTAATTTCCTTTGTTTTAAAAAAAAATTTTGCTAAAATTTTTATTTAGAAATATTGAGAAAATCTTTAAGTTAAAGAATTATCTTAAAATTCTCCAACATCTAGGCTAAATTTAAAATAACTATTTTTGCTTAAGATTTAACACAACAATCCTAAAAATGAAATAACAATCTTTATAAAAAATTGTTGGTGACTCTCTAACATCTAGGCAGAGTACCAAGAATTATTTCTTTCGGAATGTTAGTTTTATTTTATTTTGTAATATCACAAATTTTTTTTTAAAAGTATTATTTTTTTTTATTATAAAATATTTTATCATCAAATAGTAAATGAAAATTAAAGACAGAATAGTGCAAATAATTACTGATAATAACATGCAAACATATGTATGCCAATGAATGTTATGTAAAATGAAATGCAATTTAAAAGTTGGGTTCTTAAGTATAATGAAGCCACCCCGACTCTTCAACATCTAGGCAAAGCTTAGGTGCAACTGTTTATATTTAAGATCCAAATTTACTGTTATACTTTTTATTTATTAATTTTATTATTAATGCGAATTAAGAAATCATGTGAAAAGACTTAACGAAGTAAGATTTCCTAAATACCCTATCATTTAGGCGGCATTCGAGAACAAATTGTTTCAAATGAAATTTTCACACGTGTCCTTAGGATTTTTAGGAGGTTTTGAGTAAGGGCTTGAGTAGAAGTTTTGAAGGTTTGGTTTTAAGGTTTAGAGGGTTTTAAAGTTTGAATTTTATGATATGGAAGGTTTAGAGTTTTGATTTTAGAGTTTGAAGATTTTAGGGTTTGGGTTTTGGGGTTTGGGGTTTTGATTTAAGGTTTTGGATTTTAGGGATTTTGGATTTTTGGGTTTGGATTTTAGGGGTTTCGAATTTTAGGGGGTTTGAATTTAAGGGATTTCGAATTTTTAGGGATTTCGAGTTTTAGGATTTTGAATTTTAGGATTTTGAATTTTAGGGGTCTTAGAAACCTAGGATTTTAAAAATTAAGAATTAGTGTTTAAGGTTTTGTTTTTAAGAAAATATGAACATCTATAAAAATTCTCAACATCTAAGCAGATTTTCGAAGCAAGTTCTATTTTAATAATTTTTTAAAATTAATTAAATATTTCTTATATATTTATTTTTTTTGAAAATTTATTAATAATAATTTCCAACATCTAGGCGAAATTATTTCTTTAAAAAAATATTTTTTTATTCCCTCCAACATCTAGGCAGGAAAAATAATAAAAATTATTATTACTTCTTTGAGAATTTTTTAACACATATTTTTAGTTATTACTTGTTTTCAATTTTATTATTATTAAAACAAATAAACATTTATTCTAACAAATTTAGAAATTTATCATGCATAAATATAAAAATATACTTAAAATAACAAAAATAATAATATAAAAAAATTCAAAAAAAAAAATTTTACTTGAACCGGACCAGTCAACGCTGGTCTAAATCGATCTGATCGGTTCTGCAATTCAGTCAGCTGTTCAGGCGGTCCAGTGGTTCAAACCGGTTCACTGGCAGTTCTTCTGGATCGATTCAAGGTTGGCTGAAACGAGTTGACGGGTCGATTTGTGCGGATCTTGGGTCGGATTTGGGTCAACACGCGGATCCTCCTTGCCTAAAACGACGTCATTTTGCTCCTTAGTCCTTTATATATAACCGAAAAAAAAATTTTGTTCATTTGGTTTTTGTTTTCAAAAAAAAAAAGGGGGGAGAGCTCTAGAGCTCTCGCATGACCACCGCGCCGGCCACCGCCTGAATAGCGGTCGAGCGATCGTTGTCGGTGGTCGTCGGTCGCCAGAAAATTACCAAAATTCACCGCGATGCTCCTCTCGGCTTCCTGAGTTCAGATCCGAGGTCCTTTTCAAGAGAACAAGCCCCGATCGACATAGATCGAGGTTTGAACTTTTTTGAGTTTACTGTTTTTTTTTTTTTTTGTAAAACGAAGGCTGATCTGATTTTTTTTGTTCTTGCAGGGAGCTCGGCGCTGAGGTTCCTCCCTACGGGGAGGACTGTTTGTCTTTATTTTATTTTTTTTTGTTTGCTGTTTGGGTATGGGTTTTCGTGAGAGGCTTGGGGTTTTTCTTGGTCTGATAGTTTTCGAAAATGGGGGTCTAAAGGTTCTTTTGAGAGGGGGTCCGAAAGAGAGGTTTCAAAAAAAAAGGGTTCTGAGAGAGTTTTTTAAGGGGGTTCGAGAGTTTATCTGAGCTCGAAGGTTTCGTGGGGGTTGGTTGAATGGGTATTCTTCCTTTTTTCAGAGAACATCCTAGAGACCTTAAAGGAGATATGGCTTGAGATTTTAAAGGGCTTCAATTAGGAGGATCTAGGTGGCTGTAGGGTGGCTGTAGGTGGGCTGAAAGGGAGCTGGTCAGGGGGCGTCAAGGGGCTGTAGGGTGGCTGGTTAGGGGCGACAGCAGCGTCAGCCACCCTACTTTCTGTTTTTCTATTTTTTTATTTTTTTTATTTTTTTGTTTATTAATAATTATTTTATTTTATTTTTTATTAAATTATTATTATTATTATTATTATTATTATTATTATAGTGAAATAAAAATAGTAGACCCGGATAAAATCGATGTCTACACATAGTGACTACGCTTGAAACCAGGATACTCATCTTATACCCTCGTTGCACCTACAGCACAAAACCAAGTGTGTACGTTAGTAACATCAATTTAATAGCATAACTCAAGTCCCTCAGGATAAGACTCATTCGACCCACATGCCCTCACTCAACACCATTTTAAGGTGTGCCTCATTTTACGACTGAAACTCATAACCGATCATAATCTGAAGGGCATTACATATTTGCATGAGCCCACACCATTCAATTGGTAAGGCTAAGACTTCTATCGCTTTTCACTTGACATCCAAGAGCCTACTCAAAGGCCTTGCATCGAGGCCAAATTTTCCATAGCATGAATTGTTGACTCATTCACGAGCCCACATAGCCAACTATCGCGTTCTAGCTTCAATAGTTCTTTTTAAGCTTAGCACTATCTCAATCTGTTGTTATTATGCACCTACTTGAGTCCCACGACTGAGTTTAACTTTGGCTCTTATACCACATGTCATGAACCGCATGTTTTTAGACTAAAACTATGAGATCGTGCAGCACTAAGACCACTCATAGTCGAGGTAAACCTTTCACGAGTCAATTTTCTTATGGACAACTTGTTATCGATCCTTCAAGCCACATTCACAAAAACCCTTCTTTGCTCTAACCCGTAAGGTCACACTCATCATTCCTAAACTCATCAAGGGAGGAACCTAACTCTTATTGCATCATCAGTCCATAAGTTTCAAGGTGGCCTCAAGCACCCATCTAGGCCTACAGGCATTAAGGCACCGAGCACCAACCCTACTTGAATTCACATAAAGGCGTGCAACCCTGTTCTCATTATAGTATATAAATATAGCATTGTGAAAACTCAACACCATGCCTGCAAGGACTATCCAAAACTCTTGTGCTTAAACCCTGAGGCATGACATAAGTGTTGATTTACAGCTAGCCTAGAGCCATACGAGGCCCAACTCACCAACCACAGAGCTTACATCTTGAGGCCTCACCCCTTAACCTCGCTTTAGGTTGCTTGTTCATATGATGGACACCCACCATCATGCTCATACCTCATTGAGTTACTCGAGTATACTGCCTCAGCTGTAGCACACTCCTACCCATGCTATTAAGTGGTAATGGGGTCTAGTAGTGTGCTTGCTTGCTAGCTCACTTATCCCTTAGGCTCATTGGTGCCCCTCCTACACAAGCATCATCTCATGATTCTTGGTTACTTATCGATCTAGTTTAATGAGGGAAAATCGAAAGGCATAACAAATGCTAGCATCTAACTTCACGATTTAACACAAAGGTGAGATATGAGGATTGTCGGCCCCAACTATCCCTAGGTTTACCATGACCTGAGGAGACACCATGTAACACTCATGACCCAACGATGCTCATTGACCTAGACACCACATGTGCCTAGAAGTAGCTCACTTTAGACTAGTAAAGCCCCCACCTGCTTGCTAGCCAAAGAGGTAATAGAGAACTGACACCAGACGTCTTTTATAAAGAGCGTAGAAGTTTTTACAGCTATGCTACCAGGAACCATAACAATATTTGAAATGGAGATCTTTTCTCCCTAACCAACTCAAGGTGCCGTAATCTTCCATTTGCTCGGCAAAATGTCAAGATTCTACACGTTGCTCTGCCAACTCACTCGAAAGTGCCCATACCCAGCTTCAACCAAGAACACCAGACCAGCTAACAAACTCTAGGGTGCCCGCACCAAAACCTACTCCAAGGCCCGTGCTTGCCCGCACACTCAATCAAGGATCACCATGCCATGGACTAGATCTTGTCCGCTGCTCAAGATCGGGTAGTCATGGTAGGACCAAGGCACACCAACACCTAACCATGACATTGGGCATATCGCAACTTCGAATCACCTTCCCAAGTCAAATTTATGGGTTTTTCTACAGTCAACTATCATAACCTTAGTGGTGATGCTGCATTTGGTCCATATTTAATTGATTAAGTATTGAGCGAAGGCAATTGATGGCAGCCTGCAGAAGACTTGGAAATTGAATGTTCACGGCATGGAAAATATCTGCCTTTCTCTTGTCTATAAGAAAGTTCATCTGAAATAGTTCTGAACTCAACCCAACTTAAAAGCATGTCGACTTTTCCAAATCCCTGTCTTGTTCTCTTCCATGTTGTCATGCTTTCTTTACTTCCATTGAAGATCACATGTTCAGCAAGAACACAAGCGGAAGCACTCATCCAATGGAAGGAACAGCTTGTTGTTTTCGCCACCTTCTCTCAATTCTTGGTCCCTTTCTAATCTCAACAACCTCTGCAACTGGACTTTCATTACCTGCGATGGCAGTGGAACAGTCTCCGAAATCAACTTATCCAATGCAAACATGTCTGGTTCCATCGCTCAATTCAATTTCACTCCATTTGCCAATCTCATGCGCTTCGACCTCATGAATAGCACTATGAATGGGCCAATACCGTCCGCCATTGGTACTCTGACCAAGCTGATTGTCTTGGATTTGAGCAAAAACTCTTTTCAAGGAAACATACCGCTGGAGATGGGTCGTCTATCAGAGCTTCAATATCTGAGTCTATCCCGACAACAATCTCAGTGGCATTATTCCTTATCAAGTTAGCAATCTCCAAAATGTAAGGTACCTCGACCTTGCATACAACTACTTTAATTCTTCTGACTCGTCCAATTTCATGGCCATGCCTTTTTTGACACACCTCAGCCTAGCTTACAATGAACTTCAATTGGAATTCCCTCAATTTATACTCAACTGTCATAATCTTACTTTCCTAGACTTGTCATTGAATAGCTTGATTGGTCCAATACCAGAATCATTGTACACCAATCTGAGCAAGCTTGAGCATCTCAATCTCTCAAGTAATTCCTTTGAAGGACCATTATCGTCAAACATTTCCAAGCTTTCAAAACTCATAGATCTTCAACTACGAACCAATAAGTTGAATGGTTCAATTCCTGAGAGTATAGGAATCATGACTGATCTTGAAACAATTGACTTGTTTCAAAATTCGTTTGAAGGGAAGATTCCATCTTCTTTGGGCCAACTAAAAAAGCTCAAGAAAAGTTTCGCTCGAATGACTTAAATTCTACAATCCCATCCGAGCTTGGTTCCTGTACTAACCTCACCTTTTTGGCCTTAGCTGGGAATCAACTGAGTGGGAAGTTGCCTATCTCCTTGTCGCAACTTACAAAAATAACTGCCCTGGGTTTATCTGAAAATTCTCTTGAAGGCGAGATCCCACCATCTCTTATTTCTAATTGGACCAACTTAACGTCTTTGCAACTTCAAAACAATTCCTTCACAGGGAGGATTCCACCAGAAATAGGCCTATTGAAAAAGCTCCGCTTCCTCTTTCTCTATAAAAATAAACTTTCTGGCTCAATTCCTTCAGAGATTGGAAACTTGAATTCCATGAAAACTTTAGACCTTTCTGACAATCAGCTTTCGGGTCCAATTCCTCCTACTATATGGAGTCTCTCAAACCTTGAAGGTTTACAGCTTTTTTATAATAATCTTAGCGGCACAATTGCACCAGAGGTTGGAAATATGACATCCCTGCAGTGTCTTGATATCAACACAAATGTCTTTCATGGGGAATTACCGGACACAATTTCTGACCTCACTAACCTATTAGCATTCTCCGTGTTCACCAATAATTTCTGGGGTAGCATTCCTCGGGATTTTGGGAAGAGTAGTCCTGGGTTGCATTATGTAAGCTTTTCGAACAATGCCTTCTCTGGAGAATTGCCGCCTGAATTGTGCAGTGGTTTTGCTCTTGAAAATTTCACGGTAAATGAAAATATGTTCACAGGGTCATTGCCAGCTTGCTTGAGGAACTGTACAAGGTTAAAAAGAGTCCGGTTTGATGGGAACCAATTTACGGCTAACATCACGAATGCATTTGGAGTTCATCCTAATCTTGAGTTTATTGCTCTTAGTGACAATCAATTTACTGGTGAAATCTCGCCAGAGTGGGGAGAATGCCAAAAACTAACCAATCTACAAATGGACAGAAACAGAATTTCTGGTGGAATTCCTGCTGAGCTTGGGAAGTTGAGTCAGTTGCGTGTTCTGAACCTGGGGGTCAATGCGTTGACCGCAGATATCCCTTTGGAACTGGGAAATTTGAGCAAGTTGTTCAACCTTAATTTGAGCCAGAATCATCTGACAGGTGAAATAACTCAGATTGTGAGCAACTTGGTGAGTTTAGAGTACCTTGATCTATCGGGGAACAAATTGGCAGGAGAAATACCAGGAGAAGTTGAGAATTGTGGCAGGTTATTGAGCTTGAACTTGAGTCACAACAATTTATCTGGTGAAATTCCACGAGAAATAGGTAGCTTATCAGTTTTGCAGTATTTACTGGATCTCAGCAGCAATTCACTCTCAGGTTCAATCCCTCAAGATCTAGGGAAGCTTGCATTATTGGAGAATCTAAACGTTTCACATAACAATCTCTCAGGCCGAATCCCAACTTCATTGTCCAGCATGATTAGTCTCCATTCATTTGATTTCTCCTACAATGAGTTAACAGGGCCGATTCTAAGTGGTGGTGTGTTCCAAAATGCTTCTGGAAATGCTTTTGTTGGAAACTCAGGTTTGTGTGGAGATGCTGAAGGATTAACTCCTTGCACTTCAAGTCCCACAAAGAACAAGTCTAATAGCAAGAATGTTCTTATCGCTATCATTGTCCCCATCTGTGCCATATTAATTCTAGCAACAATTGCTGCTGTAGTGTTTCTTTGTCACAGGCAAAGCAAAATGCTTGATGAGGAGATTAAAGGTAGTAAAAGGACTGATGTTTCTGAGTCTACCATTTGGGAAAGAGAAGGAAAATTCATATTTAGTGACATTGAAAAAGCCACAGAAGGCTTTGCTGATAAGTACTGCATCGGGAATGGAGGATTTGGAAGCGTTTACAGAGCAGTATTGCCCTCAGGTCAAGTTTTTGCAGTTAAAAAACTCCATTTGTCAGATTCCAGCGATATTCAAGTAACAAACCACAGGAGTTTTGAGAATGAGATTCATATGTTGACAGAAATTAGGCATCGGAATATCATAAAAGTTGTATGGATACTGTTCTAAAGGGGGTGGCACATACTTGGTTTACGAGTATCTGGAAACAGGTAGTTTGGGACGTGTATTATATGGATCACAAAAGGGAGTTGAGTTAGGATGGGCTACAAGGGTGAAAATTGTGCAAGGATTAGCTCATGCAATTGCTTGCTTGCATCATGATTGTTCTCCACCTGTCATTCACCGAGACATAACTTTGAATAACATTCTGCTTGAGGAAGATTATGAGCCAAGGCTCTCGGATTTTGGCACTGCAAGGTTGTTGAATCCAAATTCATCCAACTGGACCACGGTTGCTGGTTCTTATGGGTACATGGCACCAGGTTAGTAAACAATTTACTTAATTATGTTTCATTAGATGCTGCTTTGGCAAATTGGCAGTAACTTTCTTTTTCTTCTTAGTTTTCAATTGCAATTTGATTGCTGACTTTGTTTAATTTCTTGGTCTTTAGAGCTTGCACTCACAATGCGGGTCACAACAAATTGCGATGTTTACAGCTTTGGAGTGGTGGCATTAGAGATTATGATGGGAAAGCACCCAGGCGAGCTCTTGAATTCCCTGTCATCAGTGGCATTGTTATCAAACAACAAAGAATTGCTTCTGAAGGATCTTCTGGACCAACGACTTCCACCTCCCACTGACCAAATAACAGAGGAAATTGTATTTATTGTCACCATAGGCTTAGCGTGCATACGTTCCGTACCCGAGTCACGACCAACAATGCGTTTTGTGGCACAAGAATTATCAGCAAGAACACAGGCTTGCTTGGGTGAGCCACTGGGAGCAATAACTATTAGCAAACTATCTAGATTTCAGAAATAGAACAAAGACTGAAAGAATAGGAAGTTTTCAATCTGGGGGAGTCAAATACTAGTAGTTCATTTAGGAGCCAGTTTTTAGTACATTTTTGTTACGTAAAGTAATATGCTTGTGCCTTGTACCATATTTTTCTTCTGTTACAGAGTGTATTTGTTTCATTATAACCCATATAACCAATAAGAGATTGGAATTCAAAGGTTCAGAAGGTGTTGGCCGCAGAGCAGTCCTGGGTTGAACCCAGGCTGGGGACCAATTTTCACTGGCTCTACTTTTCCTCCATGCTTCAACTACCAATTATCAAATTGCAAGAGCAATATTCAACTTTTTTGTAACATAACCCTTGCTTTTTTAGTGTGAAAACTTCAGTCTTTGCATTGTTTTTTAAGTAGAGTAAGAATTAGTATAGCCCTTATTACAAAGTACTTTTTTTTCTCTGGTCAGAAATTGACTTTTGACTTAAGTGGGAACATTGGCTCCTGCGATATACACTGTCCACTTGCCTTGGAAAATGTGCCATTGACATGCGACAGCAATGGAGTTCTGGAAAGGTAGTCACCTTGTACAATTTATGGAGTAAGTGGGCAATTTGTTTTGCTCATAATAGAGATCTTACATGCTTGTATTGGTCAATCACACCCTCTCTTGCATTACAAACAAAACCTTAAGTGACTTTATACACAATATAAATCCCTTCAAAACCTTCCAAAAGATTTGGAGAATCAAAGCAAACAATAGTGGCATACAGCCAAAAGGAAATAATGAGAATTAGTGGCATAACTGATCAGCATTCCACACCACATTGTTTGAGGACAGGACCTGTTTGCTTGGGCAAGAAAGGATCAATCCGAACCCAGACCAGTGAGAAAATTGATGCAAGAAGTATAGACCACAATACAACAATGGTTGGAGTCCTGTTTTGCCTTCCCATCAAACCTTTGAGGAAAGGATAGAGATGAAGAATGACCCAGAAGGCGAAGAATAGCTTGCCGAACAAGGGACCCCATGAGCCATAACCATTATTAATAGCATCAGAAACCCCAGCCACGACTCCCACCATGTTCAATATTATTAGAGTTGTTGGAGGGATTAGAAGGGTGGTCCATTTGAAGAGGTAAAGCTCACCAAACTCGGCATCATCTGCGGCTTTTGCTGTTACAGTAAAGTTGGTGTCAACTCCACCAAGGACTTTGAGCAGGCCTTGGAAGACAGCAAAAAGATGTGCAGAGACACCACCAATCACCCAGAATTGTTCATTGCGCCACCAGTCTTGGATGCTAACTCCGCTCCATCGAAGTTCAAGCACACCAGTTGCTATGATGGAAAGGAAAAGTGCCAAGAACCATACACTTGTAAGATTGCTCAGCTGCAAAGAAAACAAAATGGTCAAGCTTAAAGAATCAGGTTCTTGGAATAAAAATCTGATTTCAGAATGTTTTACCAGGCAATCTCCAATAATACTTACAGTTGGGATGATAAATTTTCCAGTCAGGAGACAAACCGCAGGAATAGTACAATATGCGAGTAAAGGGATCGAAGTGAAAGGGTAAACGATGGTGTTGATGTAAGCAAGCCTCTCCAGCCATTTCAGTTTTCCACCATAGCCATACCAAAGTGGGCAATGACGACTGAGGAAAATTTCTACGGAGCCGAGTGCCCATCTCAGAACTTGGTGCAAACGATCTGATAGATTGATTGGAGCTGACCCTTTGAATGCTGGTCTTTTTGGTACACAGTAAACTGACTTCCATCCTCTACAATGCATCTTGAAACCTGTTAAAATATCTTCTGTGACTGACCCATAAATCCATCCAATCTGTAAAGCAAACAATTTTCATCGTCAGTAATCCCCTCAAATATATATACTGGGACCAGGGGCTCGTTTATAATGTTGCTCACCTCTTTGCCCCACTCTGTTTTCTCTTCATAGCCACAGCTGATTACATGAATGGCTTCCTTAATAAGTGATGTGGTATTGGTGCCTTCAGGAAGGCCACCATTTTCCATCAGAGTTGAAGCAATGAAGACTGGTGACTGCCCAAATCGTTTCTCAAAATTCTTCTGTGACATAAGTGATGATTTCTCCAATTCCTCGTATCCTTCAAGCCCCTCTTCAATCTCTTCAAGATCGAAGACCGGTGCGGACCCCTTTCTCACATAGTTTTTTCCCATCATTTTCTTCTTCTTCTTGCTGAATAGAAGACCTCCAAGTAAGCCCTTTTTCTCTCCTTTCTTCTTTGATTTTTTCCTTGACCCTCCACAGCAACAGCAACACCATGAAGGCCAGCAGTCACATGTCATCTTTGGTCGCTTCTCGGACACTGGTGGATCATAGCCGTACAGTGCCTGCCTGTTGAAGACACACCCTGTGCCTACATATACAGGGCCTTGAAGCCCATCTAATCCTAGCATGTTGATCTATAACCACAATTGCGTTGTAGACTTTAGGTACTAAATTTTCAAAATCAAAATGAAAAAAAAAAAAATAGCAAACAAAAAGTTTGACTTACATCGAAGAAGACAACGTTTCGATTGGCATATCTATCGTGACGATCAATACCATCAAACCTCTGTGGAAATTGAACATAGCAAAGCTTCTTTCCAAACTGGGGATCCATTAAAAAGCACATAGCTTCCCTTAGGGCCTTGCTGTTGTTGATGTAGTGATCACAATCCAGATTCAATATGAAGGGTGCGTTAGTAAGCACCGCAGAGACTCGAACCTGGCAATGACATCCATGATCCAACAAGGGCAATAAATCATTAACTGCATCCTTTTGATCTCCAAACAAAACAAACAAGAAATTAGACTAAACAGTAATTACCAGAGCATTCTCGGCACCGGCTTTCTTGTGGTGCTGATAACCAGGTCGTTTCTCACGAGAAACATAGACAAGCCGAGGCAGCTCCTTACCATCTACATCAAGTGCACCGGCACTTCCTAGATAGACCTGTAAATTGCAAGTAGCTTTTAAGTTCCACTATGATCTGGTCTTTAATTTTCAGGGATAAAAAGATATTTCATGGTCTTATCAAATTACCTGAATCATTCCAGGATGATCACGAGTGTTATTTCCAGGCCACGGAGTGCCATCCTGCATCACCCATCCTTCTTCTGGTTTCTTCTGAGCTTTTGCTACTAGTGCATTGATCCTCACTTTAAATTCTTCATATTCCCTCTACAGTAAACCATAAGCAATATCTTAAACCCTTGTTCATGTTTTAACACGATGACGACACTGGTAGCAGAAAAAAAAGTGAACAGCGAGTTTGGCAACTTACTTTCATGGCTCTGCGTTCTTTCACAAAGCTGGGATGCACCTTGTCTTTTAAGTAATCAATCTTCTCGGAGAAATAAAACTCAGGTGCCCTAGGCTCGACATTATGCTTCTTGCAAAATGGTACCCACCTCCTCGCAAACTCAGCAGTTTCAGATAGTGTGTCGAAAAGAAGCATGGAAGCGCCATCATCTGACACATAACAACACACTTTCTCGACAGGATAATCGACAGCCAAAATTGATAGAACTGTGTTAGCTGTTATGATGGGAGGTTCTTTAAGAGGGTCAACAGTACTCACGAAGAGATCAACTGCGCCTAGTTGATTTGGCTCTCCCTCACGCTCAAACCTCAAGGAGAGGCGATCCAGGTAAGTTTCACGAGTAATGGGGAACCATTTGGGGAACTGGTCGAGTATCCAGGAGAAGGCAAACCATACTTCACATATAACAGAGATGAGCCATAAGGGATAAGCATCATAGGCAGGTGTTAGAATACGAAAACGGAGGAAAAAGGCCAGAATGATGAATCGGAGGACGATGACTATCCGATAAGGGTTGATCAGGCTTGAGGGAATTGGGACTTTTCGCCAGAGAGGTTGTCGAGCTTCAGCCAGGCTGCAAAAGAAATGGAAAAAAAGTGTTGTTACAGGGTGGTATAAATTTTCCTTTACACACATATATACTGTGCTATCCAGAGGTTTAAAATGCAAGAAAAATAGATAAAAGAGAAATTTACAGGTAATCATCTTCTTCAGCTTGATCATTTCCCCCACCATCGTTGCTTACCAAACCTCTTTTTTCTTGCCTGACTTTCCATTTCTCAACTCTCTCTTTCCATTCTGCGCTGCCATAAATCTCTTTATCGCCTTCAAAATCCTTCCCAGCAGCTGCACACCATTGACAACCCACCCGTAAATATAGTAAAACAAATCAGGGTTTCGAAAAAGGAAAGCAAATGAACATAAAACATGAACATTTTGTTGCACTTACTGCTTCCTGCAACTGAGAAAGCTTGACCATTGGGATGCCATTGCTGATTATTATAGTCCCCATTTTCCTGCAAAATTGACCAACTTGGCCTTAGTATATCTTTTACTTCAATCAACTTATTATAGCTGATAAGTTAATAAGTCAAAAACATGGACAACCATTATTTGAAATTTAGACTAAAACATGGACAACCATTATTTGAAATTTAGACTATCTGATCAGATTATTATTATTATTATTATTATTCAAGACAAAACTGTAATTTTTAGAAAGTTCAGAAACGTACATGTTGTCGATCTGAGTCATCTTTGCGGTTCTTAATCTGAAATTCATCATCAAAATCATCTTGGTCAGAGTTGTCTTCCTCATCTCCTGCAATTCTTGGACTACCTGCGCTACAAGGAAAGATGAAATAATATTATGGGGTACCTGTTCAAATTAATTTCTCTAACATATATAATGGAGATAAAATGAAATGATAGTTAAACAAATTAACCTTTGTGACGCTTGTAGCGAGTGTTGCACTGAGGGCAACACTGGGTTCCTTCACTCCTCTCATACTCATAACAAGGACGGCAAACCGGGAAGCCACACACATGACAAGCTACAAACAACACTCCATCTTCCCTGTGCCCAATCTCATCCCCACAAACTTTGCATAATTTCCCTGAAGACTGCCGGGTCGGAGGCCGGTTCTGCCACCCACATTACACGATCACAATTAAGAAACACATTACAAGTTACAGCAGCAATAGCAATATAGAAAGGTATAGAAGAAGGAAAAATTAAGAAAGTACCTCGTCTACGGCCAGTGAACCAAAGCCAGCCATGGTGCTTGAGGCCATGGCAAACAAAGAAAAAGAAACAAGAAGTGAAGGGAGATGAAAAGGATATGAGACAGAGAGATGGTTGAAGGAAGAGAAAGGGAGAAGAGGGTATTATAAGGTAGAGGGAAGAGTGAAGAAGGTAAGTGAAATGTCAGGGAAGGGGCGGGGGTGAACGGGGTGTGTAATGCAAGGGAGAAACGTGAGAGAGTGTCTACCAAACTGTGAGTTGAGAAGTCGTAGGTTTGAGTCCAAGAGACGTTACAGGTGCGGTAGGAGGGACAAGGAAAGGTTTGCTTGCTTCCGCGAGCAGTGTGCAACGCCTGGGTCTTCTGTTTTCTTTTTTTTTTCTTTGAATAGTTAGCTTCGACTCAAAGGCAGGGACGTCGTCTCATCATCTCTTGAAGGCTGACACTAACTTCTTCCTAACAAATAAACTTAGCCAGAGGTGGAGGGTAAACATTTACGCATCTCTTGCATGTGTCACGTACCCCACCATGCGCAAAAACCAAGCATTGATTCACTATTGTTTTGACAAAATAAGAAAATGGTTCTAGGAATAAATCTGACATTAACATTATGTATACTTCATTATTGTAATAAAAAATCTCTCGTCTGTTCCTTATATTTTTAATATCATGAAACATGTTAAAAAATTGCCACTAGTTTTTAATTTCACTAATTTTCTGTTACTTTTTTTGGAAAGAACAAAAAATAAATTCAAGAATTTATTTGAATTTATTTTTTAAATACTTTTAATGAAATTTTTTAATTTCATAAGTAAAATTATTTATCGAATTTTAAATATTTAACGTCAAAAGATCGTTTAGACCTATTCTTATTTTTAAAATTCCAAATTTTTGGCTGCCTTAATACCTGTTTTTATACTTTCATATATATATATATATATATATATATATATATATATCATGCGATTCTACTCTTTTAATCCAACCATAGGCATAGATGCTGTGTTGTTAAGCAAAATCTAAAAATAACAAAGCAAATTGGCCCCTCAACAAGAGAAAATAGAAAACATGAAAAATGACAAAAGGAGAGATATATTAATCTTATAATAAAATAAAATAAAAAACCTACCCAGCAGCTAAATGGAAAATCATAAATACGCGTTGCCTTCTGTTCTTTTCTTACCATAACCTTGATCCTACTCTAACCTGTTGTCAATTTTCTTACGGGACAGGACAACTAGTTCTAGAGTCCATAATCAAACCAATAGTATTAGGTAAACAATCATGTTCCTCGAAATTGAAACTGAGGAATATCTTTTCCTGGTAAAGATTTAACCATGGTGGCAGGTTCAATCAAGCCGCTGGTTTGCTATGGCTTGTGTTATGCTCAAGCCTACGCACTGTTTGTATCAGAAATATTAATGGCAGGAAGTGCTTAAAACACCTTGGAAGCCATGCGTTTGCTCTGCATTCTCCATTTATTTGTTTCTTTCACCATAGCAAGATTGTAAGGTATTCCCAGTTCCTGTAGCCTTGTACGTCCGCCAATGCAGCTTCCATCAGTTCGTGCAAACTTTCTTTTTCTTATATGCCTGGAACTCTGAATGACACCCCAGGATAGTAGAGGACGGATATACATCCCCAGATACACTGAAAAAGAGTTCAAAATTTCCTTTTCCTGAAGGAAAAACTAACAAATACAAATGTACATTTAATATATAGCATATTGCACGTGACTCTGGTGGCTAACAGAAGGATTGTAATTAAAGTCATGTACAAAATCTAGGAGTAGAGTTTTATTGGTATTTTTTAACAATTTCGGACAGCAATATTCCCCACAAAACGGGACATTTTCACTGGGATAACTAATGCAATTTGTGCAACTGTATTTAATGCACCTCATTTTCACTTCAGGACATTGGAGACTGGAAAGTCAAACTCAGCCTTCTTATAAGCTTTTGTTTTATCAACTAAAATCATAGTGCTTAGGCAATTGTCCACCAGGACATAACAAGAGGGGAGAAAGGACCTTAAAACTTCAAAAGCTCTATCCTTATCGCAACATGGTCTATCCTAATAGTGAAATTATCCATCAAATAATTATGCTAGTCAGTTCAAAGCTGTTATAACTTATTCTTCAAATCTTGGACGCTTCGAGGGTTGTGAACTCAACTCAGAAACACAGGATTCAGCTTTCTCTAGATCACCAGTTTCAGGTGCCTTTTTCTCTCCACCCATTTCTTGTGAACTTACCTCCAATATTGAGTTGGCATTAACAGGGTCAGTTCCTGAATTTACATTATCCATCTGGGAGGCTTCCAGTTCATTTTTTGCAGGAGATTCTTTGGTAGCATCTGAAGACAAAGTGGGCGGATTCTCCAGATTAGAAGACGACACCTTCAGCTTGTCTAAACCTGACTTTTGATTCTCAAACATCATTTGGAGGTACCTTCCCTGTTCTTCTATTCGCAACTGTAAATTTCTTTGAATCTGCAGGAAAAGGAAAGGTATCAACGTTACACCAACAGGCACCAGAGCAAAAACAGAAACATCAATGAGTAATAAGCTCAGTCAGAACTTTGACTCTAATGTTGCACACCTCCACAAGGCATAATGGATGCACTAAATAGTAAATCAGCATACTGTTTAAGCCAATGTGTCTTTAATATTGACATGGCAAAAGCTAGTATCCTACAAAATATCTTTCAGATAGCCAATCTTCATTCTAAGATTTGTTAAGGACATTTGTAATCAAGTCAGGGAACATATCTTCCTTCAAAGTTGTTGCTGAAAAAACTACAAAAAAGAAACTGAGTTATCTAATGCAACAGCTATAGCACATATGATATGATATCACAGAAACAAAGACACCCTTGTCTAAAATGTCCATAATCTAATAGGTGTAATGCATAATATCCAAGTGAAAACAGTTCCAAAGAAAACTATTTCCTTTAAATGCGCTCAATCCAATAGGATTATGGCATCAAATCCCCTCAATGTGCAAATAGCAGCAGATGTTCCCACCTTCCCCGATTACTTGTGGAAAAAAAATCATTTTGTCCAGGTTCAAATTCCGAAGACAAGTGTCTGAATGAGAGCACACTATAAACATAATTTCTACTTGTCTAAAAGGAGAAAAGATTTTGCATTCCTCTGATTTAGCGAGGCATATTTAAAGATGGATTCTATTTGATTCAATTTTCTCAAGTACAAACTGCTTTTATGTCCCCAAATCCTTTCTGACACAATTTGTACCTCAAGCTGTTCATGCAAACGCTTCTGGACTTCCATTTGTAACCGCAAAGCTTCCGTGATCCCCATACCCCTGTTCCAGTTCATAATGAAAAATGCATTTAATATGATGAACTAAATTAAACGAATAAACACAATGAATCCTCATTCGGTAAGTTGCTCCTTCTGGATTCCATTTGGAATCTTCTATAATTAAATTTTTGTACAATGCAACAACAAAATGGAAAAAGAATTGTCAATTTTGCAGCTTCTTGTCCTCACCAAAAAGAATAACAAAGGAACATTCGTGGCAAACTTTTTCTTTTTTTTTGAACCAAATGACAACATTATTCATTCCACAACTTAAACACCACATAAGATTTGAAATCACACTCCACATCAGTTAAGGGACTGAAAATACAAACAAACGGTACCCATCAATCATCCCTTTCATGGTTTCCGATCAACATTTGCTTATGATGGGTTTAGCATACAGTTGGCAAGATTTGAAGATGAAGTACTTTCTGTTAGTAGAGTTCTCACAACTTTTAGCAGACCCTTGCCTTTTGTCACTAACCATGCTCTTAAAAGGTGATAATTCCTCAATACAAAATGGAATCATCCCACTCCTTTATAACAACAAAGGTCCAGATAATTACTAAGTATGCTACTCAGAATTTATGAAAGCCCCCCAAGTGTAAAATGCTCAAACCATGTGTCCATTATGCAATTTTATAAGCCAAAAAAATCAAATAAACATACCATACAAGATTATTAGAAATCCTTGACAATCATTAGAAATTACTTACGTTTTCAAGTCCAGAGATGATATGTCCTCGATAGGTGTCAATTTTTTCTCCGATGATCCTGCAAGCAAGAGTCATTATTTCAGCTAGATATACAGTGACACTCCCAATCTCACATTGAGAAGTTGTGAGGATCCACTATACATAATATAAGTCTCTTAAATCTGTTATTATCCAATAACCAAAGTAACTGAACATGACAAAATATCCTTGCCAACTACAAAGATAACCACATTCATGGATAAATTGAGTGGTAAATTCAATACATTGACATGTTGTTTCTAAAGCACAGTGGGGGTATAGGCTCATAGAATGAATAAAACCCATAAAGTTAAGATTGGAAATTTGTAGACTAAAAAATCTGTCTCCCCTTGCAAAGCGATGTGAAAGGGCAAAGTTAGCAAAGATGGTTCAGACTAAGAAATTCTAAACTAGACAAGAAACGAACCAGTACAAGATGATGTGACTGAATGGGGGATGTAAATTCAAAAAATGAAGGCTTTAACCAAAGGCATAGCTTTGATTGACATAAATAAAAGAAAAGGGTGCATGGTATCAAAACCAGAACACCAGAATCAAGTACTTATCATGCATGCATCCCGAGTGGATAGATGATCTGTATGCATATGTGCATGTGTGTGCATTAAGAAGACAGATACAGAGACAGAAAAAACTTCTGAGGAAATTGTTGTATTGATACTTAATGACCCAGAATCATCTCACAACAGATATGTCATCTCTTCTTGGATCATGAATAATCTCCCTGGCTTTCCATCCATCCAATACATTGCTACGATTTACGATTTCTAATATATCAGTATGGTAGGATAGGATTACTGAGCGCACAATAGAAATGCATCATAAATTTTCACCATACAGCTGAAGATTCCAGAACTGATTTACCAAATGAAGAAAAAAATTATCTCCACGTTATTGATAAGGACAAGATGGATTATATACCTCTCAAGTCTCGACAATCCATCCATCTGGATATATTAATACAATTTCTAATATATCAGTATGGGGAGGTTAGGACTATTGAGCGTATGATAAACATGCATCATAAATTTTCACTGGACAGCTAAAGATTCGGGAACCAATTTAACCAAATGAAGAAAAAATGATCTCCACTTCATTGATGAGGACAAGATGGAGTACATAGCTCTCAACTATCCCTCTATGATAAATCCCCTCAAACCCAACATAAGTCACGAAGAGAAAATATGAAAACAGGTATCAAGGAATGAACCAAATCCTTCAAAGCATTATTTTTGATAAAGCAAAACAGGCACTAGATGCACGCCTGCAGAGAAGTAACACAAATAGGAAAAAAGAAGAAACTTAAAGGAAGCTTGCCATATACCTTCTGATGACTCTGGTCTGTATCTAGCTGTTCTGTATTTCTGCAGTTAAGAGAGTGATATCTCCAGTAAAAAGGATTATTTAACCAGTGGCTTTGCGCACACATACAGACACAAATTATTTAATAACTAAAAGAGAAGGGTATGCACCTGCAAGTGGCTTTTAACATGATAAATAGTCAAGCCTTCAACTTTCATAAGCTTTAACACACCCTTTGGAGTAGCTCCTGTAAGTTGAAAAAACCAAACAAATCGAAACAATAAGCCTAACAACTTTAGGCAAGCAATTTCATGAGAGCCGAAAGTTACACACTTTCACTGCCACCCAGTTGGTTGACAGCCTCAACAAAGGCTTCATGAAGTTCTGGTGTCCATCGCATCCGTGGCTTTGCTGGGGCATTATTAGTTGATGAAGAGGGGTTCACAACACTGCGACTTTCTATGGATGGAGAAGGAAGCTGCTGATGCACTTGAGGTTTTTGAGCAGCTATGGTTGTGCATGGTTTTGCCACCTGATATGCCATCTGAAGCAACAAAAAGGGAACATGAAACAAAGATAAACAATGCCAAAATGTATTCAATTTATGTGGTTAAGCTTAATCTTCCATAGTATGAAAACATCCACACCTTTGGTTCCAGATCCATAACATTGTTGTCAACAAGAAGCTCATTCCAATTGGAGGCCAAAGCCTCATCATCAGAGATAAGCTGGTCTGCCCATTCCTGCCAATCATTCCGTTTGCTTAAGTCCTCAGATGTCATGATACCACTACAACTACTGCTTTCAACTTGACTGCTCTGGACAGGGGTGCTTACAGGAAAATCAAGAAAACCTGGATCTGTAGACCAAGAACCACTATTTTCTTTGTTGTAATGACTTGATATTGTAGATTGAGGCAGTGCTGAATTTGACGATTGTGGTAATGGCAACGCTGCAGCATTAGTTGGTGACTGAGAAATGAAAGGAGTATTTCTTAAAAGCTTTTCATGTGGTGATGCAGATGAGTATTGAAGATCACTCGAAAATCCAGAGGATGATGAAAACATGTGACCAACCACTTCACTATTGGTGGGTACACGAGTTGCATGGACCAGAGGCCTTGTCATCAGTTCCCTTTCTGCAGACACCGGTTGAGTGTCAGGCAACTTTAGATATGTCTCTTCCAAATGTGTTGAAATGGCTGGTAAAGATGATGTCATTCCTCCAGACACCCCCAGGTTACTGGGCTGCCTTGCACCTGATCTCTGAATGGATAAAGAAGGTTGTGCCTCCATGCTTGTCCTCAAATTTAAAATGAGGTGTCAATTGTTTGTCAAACAATGTTAGCTTAATTGGCACAGTTCATACAGCTGCAGACAAACCAGTAAAAGTTCCAGAAGCACCCTTGTTATTGCACCAAATGCTATGGCATATCAAAGAGTCAAAACTTTTGGCATCAGTAAACATTATGCAACAAATTAAAAATATTGATGTATACATAAGAAAAAAATCAACCCCAGAAAACTCCTAGGAAATACTGGTACCAAATTAAGATGAACAGGCAAACAAGAAGAAGAAACACAGGCTAAAAACGCTCTTAGAGATTATGTTCAAAGTGATGACAACGTGTTTAAATGGATGCCCAGTATGGAATTCCCAACAAAGGATCTGATTGGTTCAATCATAAAACAAAGTCGATATAGGACAACTAAATTACCTAGACATTTATTTTATATATTTTACATGTTCAATGTAATTTGTAGTATTTAGGGAATTATATGGGCATTTATAGCTTCATATTTGTGTTGATGTTTATGGAGTAACCTATAATAAATGAACCTATGGTATTTCAATTTCTAGTAACTTTTGGTTATTGAGCTATTATGAATTGAGATTTGACTTTTGAGTGTCAAGATTTCCATTCCCTATGTTCTCTCGGTTCCCCTCCCCCATTCTTCCATCTTTCACTTCTATTTCCTTTGTTTCCTTCCTTTTGCTCAAAATTTCTCTTTATTATCTATTTTTACATATCTCTTTTCTCTACATAAAAAAGACAGCACAGAAGTAAGGAAGTAACAATTGCAGAGACTACATTTGCAGATTAGCCATTTATGCTTGGAATAAACAATATTAATCATTATAAGCTCAAAATGCACAGGAACACAGACATTAGAGCAGAATCTAGTTTGTATACCAGAGAAACTAAGGGAACAGATTGGTCTATTAATTCATAATGTCTTTGTAAAGTGAAAAATACAGGCCCTTCCCGGCCTCGGAGCCAATTACTGTGAAAGTATCTATAACCTGTTTTGCTGATATTGTGATGACATAATTTCAATCAAAACTGCCCAAGACTGTTACACACCATTCCTTGATAATGAATGAGATGCAAAATTAAACTCACTATTTTTAGTTTCCTCCATCACCAAGAAAGCACAAACTAACTTCATTACTCCAAAATGAGATATTTTCATATTTGGCTATATCTAACCATCAATATGCTTCAGGTTTAGCTTTGCTTTCCAAAAAATCTTCTAATATGTCTTTATAAATGCTAGTTCAATAATACAACCTGCATTAACTACAACCATCCACCAATCCCATTAACCTAAAATATGCTTCTATTCCTACAACTAAGTAGGCATTAAAATACCTTAAATTAACTCTCAACCACGGCGGGCATTGCATATTTCTGGATGACCATTAATAATTTTATCAGCCCTTTGTTAACACAACCCTAAAAGAACAAACTTTTTAAGTCAAGCAAACTTATCTCATATGCCTACAACTCGGCTAAATAAATGTTTTAAGCAATCCTACCTTTTCCAGAGCTATATATATATATATCTTCAGTGAGACCAAGCTACATTTAATATCTATCAAAATACTGATTTTTCACAAAAAATTAAAAAAAAATCCAAACAATTGACAGTTAAATACAATACACAAGATTCCATCAAAACAGTGATAATAACCTCCAAAAATCAAACATCAGAAAAACCAAAACCCAAAAGAAATTCACCATCAACTGAAATGTGAAATTCAAAGAGAAAAATCCAATAACCCAACATGCAAAGCATCAAAAGAATGACTTAATATCCACAAACAATAAGAAAAAAAAAAAAAAAACGGAGGCAGCCCGATTCAATTACAACCTTAAACACCTCAGAAAGCACCAAAAATTTAACTCAAACTTCATTAAAAAAATAAATTTCAGATCTTTTACCTCTAAAAGGCGAAATTAAGCAAAAACAAGCAAATGGATACGTCGATTCTTACCCAAAAACTAGATAGAAACCTCACAGGATTCAAAACCCACCAAAAAGAATCGAATCCAAAATTTGGGTCACAGCAAGAAAGGAGGCTTGGGGGGGGGGGGGGGAATTATTCTAGAATTAAAGGCCGTTTTTTTTAAATTCCGTCACCGGCGCTGACCCATCAAAGGAAGTGAACGGTGACAAGTGCGCTTTTGCCTCTTGTTTTGGCCCTTTCTGCCCCTGAAGCTAATAAGGAACAAACAGTGATTTGGCTCACGAGCGTTTCGTTGCGCGTGTAAACAACCTCTCTGGTGAAGGAGGGGGAATATAGTTAAAAAGTGTCTGGAATTAAAATGTGGGGCCCACAAATTCTGTACGTGGAGAGTTCTGATAGGTGGGTGGGAAAATATCTGATGGGTTGCACGTGGGCTTTAGTGTTTCTCATATGATCAGAGACGTGGTCTTTCAGTTGCTGAAAGGCCATTGGGGCCTCTGCATTTTTTCTTTTTTTTTATTTTATTAAAGCTTTTTCCTTTTTTATTTAGTTTTTTTTTTTTTTAGGAGCTCTTTGGTTTGATTTTTCAGTAGAGAAGGCAACTTCAATCGATTGATTTCGATTCGATTTAATTTTTTAAAATTAATTTTTTTAATTAATTATTAAATCGAATTGAATTAAATTAAATAAAAAATTTAAAATCAAATTAGATATGAATTTTAAATAAATTCGATCATATTCAATCTAATATATAAAAATTTAATTTTTTAATTTTTATTTAATTTTATATTTATTTTTATATATTTGATTTTATATTTATATTAAAAAATAATATTTAATTAATTTTAAATCAAATTAAATATAATTTTATATAATATCAAATCAAATTAAATTTAAATTTAAAAAATTAAAAAATTTATTAAATTAATTTGCATTCAAATTTTATATATATAAAATAAAATTAGGTTCGAGATGAATAAAAAATTGCTTCAATCTTAACCGATGCAATCACTATTTCTAAGACACAAACATAGCACATGAGAATTTTGGTTGACATATTTGTTACGCCCCGATATCAAGACGTAACATGATCGTATTACCTTGAAAAAAATTTTAAAGTAATACGAAGCCTTCTTTCTTAAACATTCTAAAATTCTTTATTAAAATAATCTACCAAGTAAAATTCATATCTTTAATCCAACTGATTATATCCAAATACAAACCATATAAAATATAAAACTATCTCTTAAGATCTTATTGGCCAACATATTCTCCGACGACTAAGTAATCTTTCCCATTTCATCTTCTAGCTTCACATAAGACTAACCAAACTTATCACTTAGTCATCTGTAAAAAAAAGTAAAAAGAGAATGAACAAACTACAGCTCAGTAAGTATAGGCTCACACATCTTATCAGATCAAGCATCGTTTTCTTATACATCATTACATCATTCAAAATATTCATCAAATCATAATATCAAAACATTTCAAGATCATCGTTTTGTCAAATATTTCATAAAGTCATAAATCAATGTCAAAATATGTTACTTCATAAATCATTACAAAATATGTTATCATTCAAATAATATAATCAAACCAAATCATGGATCAATCATTAAAAATCATCGTAAATCATCGTCATCATAAATCATCATTATCATTGGTTTATCATTAGCTACGGTCACTACTATAATCTGTGACATTAGCCGTATCGACAATTTCATCCTCATGATCATTGCTAACTATTATAACCCACTAGCTATGACCTTATGCTAATTACTATTACCCGTTAGCCAAGGTCGTAGAACTAGTTCTGGTGTCGATGATCCCACTTTTCAGGGATGTAAAAACGTAGCCATCACAAAATTATTCTTTAAACATAAATTATTTTCTCATTTCATTCATAAGCATGATCCATCATTAGTATAGAGAAACACAAAATAATCATATGCTTGATCCTATTTTCATACATCGAAAATAAAGAAATAAAATATTTATTTATTTATAAACATATATATATTCGAAAACAAGCAAAGTGTGTGAGATTCTACTTACCTCCATTCGATTCCACCACTTAGTTTTTTCCTCAAAATAATTAATGGCCTATCCAAGATCATTTTCACAGATCAAAATTTAATCAACCCTTTTTGAGACTATTTATACAAAAATCAACTAAGTTACACAAGAGGTAACTTAACTAATTAATACTGGTAACCTGACCTCTTTTCATTAAAATAGTCATATCTCAATATATCCAAATCGAAATTATGATCTCTTTAATGCGTTAGAAACTAGATTTGATAAGCTTTCTAATCATATATGGCACACCTCATAATTCCTTGTAGATTAGTTATAACAATTTTGAAATCCACGTCATATACTGTTGCCAAACAGACCGTATACCTTCTAATAAAAATTATACATTTATTCACAAGAAACTCCAAATTCAATTCCCCTTATTTCGTTGAAAAGTAGATTCAATGACCTTTTTAAACATGTATGGCTCAATACATAATTCCTTGTATAAAAATTAAGAAGAATTGCAAAATTCTTCACTGCTGTTGCTACTAGACAGCCTGTATATCCTTATGTAGAAATTAAACAACTTTTCATAGAGAACTCGAATTCAACTTTTGTTTATTTCATTAGAAAGTAGATTCAACATGATTTCCAATGATATATAATAATCATAGCAATAATCTATCCATTAATACAAAATTCTATTTTAATTCATTATTACAAATCACAACATCTCATCCAAAAATAAAATTTCTCCTTCAATCTTTAAAAACTCAAATCCTTACTTTCAACTTTCAAACTCCATTCAATAATCATCAATAAATCTTAAGAACATGAAATAAGCAAAGCCCAGTAATTTACCCAAATAGATCATGAAGATTAATGAAATATTTTCATGATTTTTCTTGGTTTTGCTCTTAAAACTTCAACTCCAAATAATAGCAATCAACTTGATTTTTTTTTTTAAATAAAAAGAGAACATATACTCACCTTTAAGGGATTAACTTGATTGTAGCCTCTGTTTGTGAATCTCCAACTTGATTTTTCATATTCTCTAACCCTAAGGAAGATAAGAAAGAAAAACTCTATTTCATTTCTATTTGATGATAGTTAGGTTTTCTTTGATTTAATACTTTAGCCATTTTTATTTTACTAAATAATGTCTTAATAAACTGATGGGCTTTAGTATTAGTCTAGCCCAATTATTATTTGGGCTGGGATATTACATTCTCCCATCCTTATAAGAAGTTTTGTCCTCGAAACTTGATTTACATCCACATCTCATTCCTCTAGTTTTGCAATCATATCTCTTACCATATGATTGTTTCATTGAACTTTGAAAAAAGTAATCATTTTGCCTCAAAACTTGTTCTTTCTAATCAACCGTTCAAAAAAATATATTTCAATATCTTAAAACTCATATCATCTTGAATTTCTAAATACTCATATCCAATCACATAACTTTTACTAAGATATTCTCTTAATATAGATTCATCATATACACTAAACATCAGAGGTGATAATATTCTTTATTTTAAACTTTTTTTTTTCACTTTTCCAAGAACTTCAAATATCTTTATAATGGAAACTTAACCTTTCTTACTTTATAATCCTCGTAATGAGTACAAATGATTGACCACTTGAAGTAATAGATCATATCTCCAAATTTTGGTATAATTCCCGTGCTTACTTTAAACCATTATTTAATCAACCAAATTTTATCAGCCATTTGTTCCATAAATTAAAGAAATAAAAGTTTTTCTTCTTTGTCCTTATGCCAATAAGTCTAAGACTTAAATCTGCTTCCATACAAAACCTCAAAATAATGAATCATTGAATGTTGATCTTATGACTATCGTTATAAAATATTTCTCTTCAAGTCATAACATAAGCATTTCTTAAAATAATGTAAATCAACAATAAAGCCTAAAAAATGAAATGAACATAAAATATTATTATCCAAAATCCATTAATCCTTATTTATTAAAGATTCATCACTTTCTCAACTAATAATAGCACAACAATTTAGAACTTAAAATTAAATCAAGCTTTCACTGCACACTCTGATATTTCTTTCCAACAAGATTCAAACAAATTAACTTTCATAACATTGTTTTGTAACAAGAAAAGCATGTGTCCACAAAATTCCTTGTAATATGCTTCACACCACGTGTTCATAACCATAGCAACCTTGAATAACAATATCAACAAATTATTTTGTCACCAAAAAGATATCACATAGTACTTTAAATTTTTTTTCTTTTCCACCAACAACATAAAATTGTCTATCAATTAACCACTAGAATACATATGACATGAATGCAATAGATCATATCCATAAATTTATACCATATAAATTCAAACATAAATCTTTGGTTACCTAAGTTGTCTCCAATTTCGAATATTGTTCTTTCTAATATACCAATTATCATATAACAATTGATTCTTCATAATCCCACAAACACTCAAATTCTCTTTTTACCAAATATATTGCTATCATCTTCACGTCAAAGTTAAAAACTATGCATCATAATCCATAAAAAAAAAATCTTTTATAAAGTTTGAACCAATAAGAACTCCAAACACTTGAATTCACATCAAAAGTATAATTATGAACAATAGCCAAATGCATCACATTATTTCAGAAGTTCTATCAAACTTCTCTAAAATTGAATAGATGTTCAGCATCACCAAGTACATAAAATCATCACTTATAAGATTTCAACCAATCTTTTACCCTTGTAAAATTCAACAATCATTTACATTTGTAAGATTTCAAACAATCATTCTTAACCAAAACATATATATTTTTCTGTAAATCGATTACTCTTTTAAAACCAACTTCTTTACTAAATCATTTGGATAACCACAATTTTAATTTCTTGCTAAGTACACAACCTTATACCACAATTGGCCATGTTCTCCATAAATATAAAATTCGAAGGAATCCAATAGTATACTTCAATTAAAAACTATAACCACAAATTAATCAATTTAGCCATTCAAAATATCAGTACACCTCAAATAGGAATTTAATGATCAAACTTTAAATTAACTATACAAACATCCAACTCTCATGATCAAACCTTAAATACTTTCTTAATAAAAATATAGAACCAAATCAAGTGAATATCCTTCTTTACGTATATAAAGCTATTTACCACAATTATAACATTTTGGACTAAATCCATCAAAATAAATTCTCCAACATTATAATCTATAAATAATTGCATCAAAATTTCAACATATCATTTCATTCCAACTCCAATATTCTATACTTTTAATTCCAACAATGTACACTCATATTCTAATCTTCATCATTGATCAAGGATTCACTTAACACTTATCAAATAATTTCAAAACCTCATTAAGTCAAAAGTCTTTTTTCAAACCCATAGGATCTCCAACGACCAAATTGTTCTCTTAAATAATCCTTTAACTTATAAAATATATCTCATTATAAATGGCGTTAAAAATCTTTCAACTTATAAATCGCACTATATCAAAGTAATTACACTTTCTCTTAACTACAAGATCCAAAAGCAATATATAAATATCAACAAAATAACTACACCAAGAAGCCATTGAATCATTGATTTCTCAAAATTCATTGAAACTTTAACTACTCCAAAATTCATTGAATCATTTACTTGTACTCACCATTATAGTCTATGGATCAAAGTTATGTCCTTGAAAAATTATCACATTATCCAGAGATCATCATCTAATTCTTAAAAATCCTCACATAATATATAGATTGTAATTATACTCATAAATATCTCTTTCAATCCAAGGATCATAAACTATATTCTTTGAAAATCACCATTAATCTACTTATCATAAATTAACTTCTTAAAAATCTCCAAAGATTATAATCGTAGCTCTTAGAAAATCTTCAAAATCATATTATAAGCTCCTTAACATCTCACATAGTTTAAAGATCATAACCTGAACTCTTAGAAAATCTTCAAAAAACATAACTTAAGCTTTTAAAAAAAATCTTAACACAATCTACAAATCATAATCTACCTCTTAAAATTCTCCAAAAATCGTAACTTAAGCTCTAATACCACTTTTGTCATGCCTCGAGATCAAGACGTAACACGACCCTATTACCTTGAAAAAAATTCTAAAGTAATACAAAGCCTTCTTTCTTAAACATTCTAAGATTCTTCATTAAAATAATCTATCAAGTAAAATCCATACCTTTAATCCAACCAATAATACATCTTTATATATCCAAATACAAACTATATAAAATATAAAACTATCTCTTAAGATCTCATTGGCCAACATATTCTCATACAACTAAGTAATCTTTTCCATTTCATCTTCTAGCTTCACACAAAACTAACCAAACTTATCACTTAGTCATCTGTAAAGAAAAAGTAAAAAGAGAATGAGCAAACCATAGCTCAGTAAGTATATGCTCACACATATTATCAGATCAAGCATCATTTTCTTACACATCATATAGATCATTCAAAATATTCATCAAATCATAATATCAAAACATTTCAAGATCATCGTTTTGTCAAATATTTCATAAAGTCATAAATCAATATCAAAATATGTCATTTCATAAATCATTACAAAATATGCTATTATCAAATAACATAATCAAACCAAATCATGGATCAATCATTAAAAATCATCGTAAATCATCATCATTATAAATCATCATTATCATTGGTTTATCGTTAGCTACGGTTACTGCTATAACCCGTGACATTAGCCGTATCGATAATTTCATCCTCATGATCATTACTAACTATTATAACCCGCTAGCCAGGGCCTTATGCTAACTACTATTACCTGTTAGCCAAGATCGTAGAACTAGTTATGGTGTCGATGATCCTACTTTTCAGGGATGTAAAAACGTAGCCATCATAAAATCATTTTTAAACATAAATTATTTTCTCATTTCATTCATAAGCATGATCCATCATTAGTATAGAGAAACACAAAATAATCATATGCTTGATCATATTTTCATAGATCGAAAATAAAGAAATAAAATGTTCATTCATTTATAAACATATATATATACATAGATTCGAAAATAAGCAAAGTGTGTGAGATTCTACTTACCTCAATTTGATTCCACCACTTAGTTTTTCTCTCAAAATAATTAATGGCCTATCCAAGATCATTTCAACGGATCAAAATTTAATCAACCCTTTTTTAGACCATGTATACAAAAATCAACTAAGTTACACAAGAGTTAATTTAACTAATTAATACTGGCAGCCTGACCTCTTTTCATTAAAACAGTTATATCTCAATATATTTAAATCGGAATTATGATCTCTTTAATGCGTTAGAAATTAGACTTGATAAACTTTCTAACCATATATGGCACACCCCATAATTCCTTGTAGATTAGTTATAACAATTTTTGAAATCTACGTCATATACTACTGCCAAACAGACCGTATACCATCTAATAAAAATTATACATTTATTCATAAGAAACTCCAAATTCAATTCCCCTTATTTCGTTGAAAAGTAGATTCAATGACCTTTTTAAACATGTATGGCTCAATACATAATTCTTTGTATAAAAATTAAGAAGAATTTCGAAATTCTTCACTGCTGCTGCTACTAGACAGCCTGTATATCCTTATGTAGAAATTAAACAACTCTTCATAGAGAACTCGAATTCAACTTCTGTTTATTTCATTAGAAAATAGATTCAACATATTTTTCAATGATATATAATAATCACAGCAATATCTATCCATTAATACAAAATTCTATTTTAATTCATTATTACATATCACAACATCTCATCCAAAAATAGAATTTCTCATTCAATCTTTAAAAACTCAAATCCTTACTTTTAGCTTTCAAACTCCATTCAATAATCATCAATAAATCTTAAGAACATGAAATAAACAAAGCCTAGTAATTTACCTAAATAGATCATGAAGATTAATGAAAGATTTTCATGATTTTTCTTGGTTTTGCTCTTAAAACTTCAACTCTAAATAATAGCAATCAACTTGATATTTATTTTTAAATAAAAAGATGGCATGTACTCACCTTTAAGGGATTAACTTGATTGTAGCCTTTGTTTGTGAATCTCTAACTTGATTTTTTATATTCTCTAATCCTAAGGAAGATGAGAAATAAGAACTCTATTTCTTTTCTGTTTCACAATAGTTAGGTTTTTTTTCATCTAATACTTCAGCTATTTTTTTTTACTAAATAATGTTTTAATAAACCGATGGTCTTTAGTATTAGTCTAGCTCAATTATTATTTGGAATGGGGTATTACAACATGCCAAGAGAGTGATGGTTCCTTAATTTGTTGAACTGACAAATTATATCGAAAGACAATCAACCAACCAAAACCAAGAATTAGGTATTCTATTGCCATGGGATTTTGGGTCTTGGAGAATCTATTTCTTTCACTCGTTTTTGCCAAAAGAAATCCCATATTCCAATATTTTATGGGATGGCTTCCAGGCTTGAAATTTGTCCGTTAAGAGCTTTGCTTTTACTGTTTTAGTCATGAAACCAACCTTGCCTGGGATTGTCTGAGAAATGGCTCTTTCCACTTTGCATAAATGTTTCACTTTTTGGTGATCGGATGGAAGACTTCTGAAACTTGCTGCTCTTATGAATGCTTAAAAAGTTTTCTTTTTTTGTTCTAAAAATCAAATAGAACATAGAAAAAGATAGCCCAGAAGTTGGCATATTTGCCTTTCATTTCATGCTTTCAAAGTACTATCATTTATGCGATTATGCTTCAGACATAGCATTAACGGAAGTGGTATCAGAAGGACTATAATTTTGGACCAAGCTTTTAATTATTTCCTTTATACAGAAATGGAGTCTTTATTAATAGTTTCACCAACAAAAGTCATATGGATGTTTGATTACTTATCAGGAAACAAAAAATCATATTGAAGAAGTTTTGGGATTCCAAAATTATATTAGAAAAAAAAATACAGCATTTCTGTTTTTTTTAGTAGTCATCGTTTTAACTTGCGAATCCATTACAAAGCTGTAGATTGTAAACATTTTAGGATGTAATATAACAAATGAGGCATATGATTGATTCAGATAAAGTTTTAGGACAGGTAATACATGGAATTTGGCAGCTTAAATGTTCTCTTCGCATCTGGTAGGCCCTTTAAACTGCTCCATTGATCTCCAATGATGCCCCATATGCGGTACCCTTGATCCACTAACCTTTTTCTCACCTGGGACTTGTATTGTTGCACATGCATGTATTCATCATCAAGACTCCTTTATGCAGAGTTAAACAAATAAATGATTCAGATCATAGGTATCGAGAGATTTTTTGAGGTAAAGTTTGATCATAAAAAGTGAAAAGTGCTGGGTGATGGAGTTTGGTTTTGGTAAGTTGATTACCTTAAGATGAGACCAGTCCATCCATGGTATCCGACATTGATGAGGTTATCAACAGTTGGAGATCTGAGAGATTCTCTTCTTGAAGAGACTAGAAAGATTTTAACCCCTCTTTCTTTGATCCCCTGGAACAGCTTGAGTGTGTGGTCCAGGGCCGGCGCCTTACTCTCTTTCATCCATTCCTCCAATGAAGTTGAATTCACCTTCTCTCCCCTGATTTTAATTTTCAATCAGGAATCGAATTTAGCTTAGCACATTCATATGGAACCAAATTCACTTTACAACATCATATACAACTGCGGTACCATAACCCTTACTATGTCATCCAAAAAGATAAAACATTTCCTAACTTTCAATTAGACCTGAAAATTTATCTATTTTGTATTTAACACATGTAAAACATAAATTATTATATTATAATTCATATCGATACATCAAACACTATATTTTCTTTTTATTTTTGCTAATCTCATATACAATTTTTATTTAAATTTTAACTCGTATCCTTTTTATATTTTTTTCATATCTCATTATTGTATTGTTTTTAAAATTAATAGATCTACTTTCAATAATTTTGAATAATGAGGTGTAGCAATTGATCTGAACACCAGATTGACAGATCCCATTGTCTAAGAAAAAATCTGAAAGCAATGAATACAGTAGACTAGATGGAGATTAAAATTATATGTACCATATCCAAAATAGCATTAAGAAGTATGATTGCGATGTAAACTTACCCAAAACCATGCTTCTTGAAGTAAGGAATGGTAGAAATGAGTGTGTCATCAACATCAAAAATCCATGCATCTTTACCATCACCGCCTAAAGAGCAACAACTGCTTAAGTATAGCGTCACTTCCTCGATTGCTCTCTCAGAGTCAGCCTTGTACTGAGATGAAGTCATGTATTTCTTGATGTGATCTACGCATTCTTGGGGCACTACTTCGAACTCCCTTATGTTGTTCAGCTCAACATTGATCCTCCAACTTTCACAGTAGTTTTTCAAGCTATCTTCTCTTGCATTTTTCCATTTTTGATTCAGAATGTTCCAGTCTGCAGCTGCTAGGCCACTGAAGAGGCTCGTCAATGCCAAAATGAGCAGAGTTTTTCTTGCCATTTGCAGAGAGAGGAGGGGAGAGAGGTTGACGAATGAAGACTGATGAATTTGGAACATTGATATTGGGGCACGTAAAGGGGTCACATGGGAGGTGGGGCATGGACTGGGACCATGCTCTGGCTTTGAAAATTTCACATGGAATGATGATTTATTAAAATGGAAGACAGTAATATTGATTGAGAGTTAATGAATATATGGACAAACCAAAGGCAGGTCAAGTTATGCTGCCCCACTCATGTTGTTCTCCACCATGTTTGCCAGTTAGTTTCACCCTGGCATGTATCGTTGGAAGGCACAGCCGCACAGCTTCTTTTAGCCTTGGATCCCTCTGATGCTCTGCCAAAGGTGTTTTTATGAATTTTTCTCAATTATTTCAGGGCAAGAAGAAGAAATATGTGCCCACAATTCTTGCCGTCTAACACGTAGTATTCATTTTCCTTCAGCCTTTTTTGGTTTTTTGGTAGAAATAGAACTTTCTTTAGTGCTTCATGAGTTGGTATGTTGTTGAGATTCAGAAAAATCAATAATAGACGTGAGGGGATGATAATTTGATGCCGACCCAAGCTCAGGTCAAAGATGATGAACATTTTATAAAATATAAATATGATGAAAGCTCAATAGGCAACATCATGAGATTGACATTTTCCAGCAGTCTGTTTAAATTTTACAGATTGAGGGCGAAAAATATACTAATTACAATTGTTATCATAGAAAATTCAATGGGGGTGACAACAGACAACAGTTAAAGCCAACAGAAAATCAAATAAACACATAAATGGCAAAACCTTCTTTATTTACGCATCAAATTCCACCCAAACAACTGAAAACAATCAGATCAATGACTTGTTTGGAGAAGAGAGCCATAAGTTCATTGTGTTGAATTCAGTGTATGATATGTTCACGGGACATCCCATCATCAAAGTTCAGAGAATAGCTGTGGAAGTCATAACTGAACTGCATGCCGCTTCTATGCAATCTCAAAGCTTGCCTCCACCGTGACTTGAGTTTCCAAACAAACTGCTTCAAGACATATGATCTTGAGCGGCAACACAAAGTTGGCCTTCTTAGAATATTGATAAGTTTGACTGCATTCGCGTCGATTGCAAATTTCTTTTCCCACTTCAAGAACTGAATTCTCTTCAAGATTTGCATTTTCACAATTTTCAATGCTAACTCCTACCAAACTACTAACTATGAATCCACTCAAAGGAGGAGAGGCTGCAAGGCTAAAGCAATAAGGGCAATAAGATATATACAGTTTGAAAGAAAGCATGAAATATTGAACTTTTCATGTCTAAAGATGTTGTTAGATGGCACTTTGCCATTTGTCTGAAATCAGAATCATTGTCACCCTTATTTCTTTCCACTTTGCTTTGCCATCATTCCTAGGTCATCCATTGTCTAATCTTGGAGAAAGGACTAGATGTGGTCTGGGATGAGCACTTTTTGAATTGGTTAGCCTTACAAAAATTTGCTGGTGTTTATCATTTGTGATTTCTCTTTCAGTTTTATGCGTGGTGAACTTTCTGTGAAGCATCTACAAATTAAGAGAGAGAGAGAGAGACACACACACACACACCAAGGTAATGTTTGCTGTGACTAAAAAGTTTATGCCGTCCATGCCTGTCTGACTCTTCTAGTGCCGAAAGGAAGAAAGGTTTGGTTTCACTTTATCCGGACGAAGGCCCACAAAGATGTGAATATTTTTGTGCGGCAGATAGCAGATGCACACCGTTACTGTATGCAACAATAAGTTTCATCACCCTTTGCTTTGCAAAAGAAAATAATAATAATAATAACTTTCATCCTAGGAAAATACAGCGATTTTCAATAGCAGATCAAGTATTTTACATCTTTTGTTTTCTCCCTGGAATTTTTTTATCTGTTTTCATGTCCCTTTGCTTTCAACGTAACTGCAGCCACACCACATCCATCATAAACATCATGTAACATCAAATGATAAAAGAAAGAAACAGATATGCTTTTCTTTTCCCGATAAATCATAAATAAAAATACCTAGAATGTAAACTACTCATTCAAAGCCCAAATCAACAACAGGCAAACAATTGCAAAGTATAGCATATCTAGAGGAATATAACACTAAATCGGTGTCTTTCTACCAAAATTTTATACTTCCTCCAAATTCAGCATAGTTACCATTTGCAACATGTAGATGGACATAATGACATGATGGCCAAAAACATAGCACAAGCATAAGAGCAAGAACTAGAACAATATAGATATTAACAAGCATGTGACACTCACTATTAGGATACACATCAAACATGGTAAAGCAAGCTTTACATCACTATCAGTCATATCAAGTAGAACAAACTTACAATTGCCTCATGTAAGGATTGTTGCCACTTTTTTTCCGAAAAGTTCAGCTGCCCAAACACTTTTCCCATTGAGTGTTAGTGCCTGAAAATATTAAACTGGCACCAGAAACCAATCTAATAGTTCTCTTATCAAGAAAATATGACAAAGCCCTTGATTTCCAACGTTCCATGTGATGACATCAACTAATGCATGCACTTCTAGGTAGAAAAACGAAATATTTTGGCTCAGACCTTTAAGAAAAGTGATGCAGAGTAGAAGCAATTGATTATTAATCCGAGTGTCATCTAACAGTTTGTGATTACTGCATCAGAAAATTGTTAGTTGAAATACTAACAAGGGAGATCCATGAGTTTCAAAGAAAATAAAAGGTAGTCTTTTAGAGAGTTGGATGGTGATGTAAAGAAAAGAAATAGATTCCATATCCTTTTAAGAACTAAGCATTAACTCATGTATTCATTGTAACACCCTCAATCTCACATTGGAAGAATGTGTGGATAAGGATTGATATATATATATATATGGAAGAATGTATGGATAAAGATTGATATATATATATATATATATTTAAACTCAAACTTGAAAGGCACCTTTTGTGGGATCGGGGAAGTTACATTCATATTTCTGAGCAGCATGGAATTACTAGCAAGAATATCAGTACTTAATTACCGCACTAAAGCTGGTACGCCTTACAGCGATTTAAATAAGCTACAGTCAGAATGAATCCAGTTGCTACACCTTACAGCATTAGAAAGTATCTCCACTCCTACCTCAACACTTGATATGCATGACATGGAAGATTGCCTCCTGAAGAGTTTCTGAACAGCAAGTTTAGTAAAATTACCACTGCTAGACTTTTCAGCCACGGTTGGAGTTACTTCTGGAGATGATATAATCGAATTCCTAGTACAATTCTATTTCGCAGGGTCAAATTATTCAAATATGCATTGAGATTTGAGACAGTCATGTTCTGTCTCTGAAAGGTTACTATGATCCATCTTAATGATTGTTGTCAAAACTGCTCTTTGATGTGAATCTCTCAATGGAAAATTATGGAGCAAGTGTTCCAACAAAAAACCTCTTTCCCTTCTAAAAGTAGCAGATGATAAATGTGCAAGACCCTGTCACGAAAATGATACTAATAACAATACAATCACGTAAAATTTCGATTAGTATATAAGAAAGCAGATGTATAACGACCAGAACCTGAGGAAAGGAAGGATGGGATGTCATTTCAAATAAAGCTGCATCAGGTCCCTCTATAGACTCTTGGTAAACATCCAAGTTGCTTAAACGCCTAAAAACCTAAACAATATGGTAAAAGAAATGTCAATTAATATAATTTGCATTGCCCCAATTAAGAAATGAAAAAGAAACACATTTTTTTATGGAAAGATCTCAAATTTCTTGAACAACCACTATATTGCATAAAATAGAACGAGCCAATCAATGAGTTTTTAGAGAAGACAGAAAAACGAGAGACAGAGAGAGAGAGGGAAATGACTACTGACGTTTTCAAAGAAGAGAGCCCATTGAAAGGCTCGCTTAATGTTATGGGAGTCACACTGGTACCGGGAGAAGACCAGATGATTGATACCCAGATGATAAAGTTAGTATATCTACAAACCCTTTGATCAGTTTCATCATTTCTTTCAACGATATATCTGGGTGATTCCACCCCATTCTCTCTTTTTCTTTTTTTTTTCATTCTTATTCCTTCAACTCTGTTTTCAACGATGCCGATTTCGTAATGAGAAACCAGATTGGGAACAGGTTTGGAGCCAATCTGGGTTTTGGTCGCAACTGATTAGTGTTTTAAGGAGCGGACAACGGGTGATTCATTGTAAGAAAGAGAGAAACTGGAACAGAGTAGGCCTTTTATACCTGGTCGACTGGTCATCCCGTCAAGACAAACTTAATTCACACGTTCTCCAATGTGAGTGTTCTTGTAGAGCTTTGGAATTGGAATTACTAGGTTGGATTAAGATTTTTTTTTTTTTTAGGGTCTTATTTAAATTTGTAAGTGATATATTAATATTTATAAATTATTTAAATTTAATTAAATTAAATTTGAATTTAATTTAATTATTATTAAATTAAATTCAAGTAATTTAATTTATCAATAAAATTAAATTCAAATATTTTTATATCTTATTCGAATAACTCATCAATTTTATCGAATTTTTATATTTTAATATATTTTTATTATTTTAATTCATAAAATATTTTAAATTTTAATGCGAACACAAATAATTGAATTCTTATCAAATATAAAAATTTAATTTATTTTTACATGTCAATCGAACAAACTCAAATAACTTAATTTTTATCTCTAAGTTGAATTTGAATTAAAAAAACTAAAACTTAATCAAATTCTAACCAAATTTTGAACCTCAAATTTCAAATTAAACTCTAACTTAAACTTAATAATGTATCAACTTAAACTCAATCGATTACACCATTAGTCTTGCCAATTTAATCATCTATCCAAAGAGCTCACTCATGCAATGATTTATACAACAAGACCCACTATTAAGGTGAAACGAAACAAAATGATCCGTTAACCGGGAGCTCATCATTCCATACCAAATCTTCTCTTAGGCTTGCAAGAATGCAACGGGACCTGCAGAGTCATCCCAGACGATGGCAAATATCAACCACTAAAAGGTACCCGAGTTTTGAGGCTGTTGGATGAAGAAAATCATTGTGATTATGCAAATTGGTATAGCAAGAAATTTCAAGGTGCAACTAGTGATGCTCCAAGGCATGACATTGACAGGAATTTGTTGCTTCTACTCGAGCCAAAAAAAGATTGATGGAAGCATTACTAAAATAGTGGCAACACCATAGAAGAAATTAGTACAAAAAAAATAAGTTTTACTATTGTTTGATCAAAACCTCTCAAAACATGTTTATAAGGAAAATAACAGAAAGATAACATCAAAACCACAATTGCAAACAAAACCATGAAAATCTTTCAGACAATAGCATTAGCAGCACTTGCAATTCTAGGCCACAGATCAGCACATTCCTTTCCAATGGGACCAGTGATAGCAGATCCTGAAAAACACCAAATCAATGAACCCAAATAAGTTTCAAATATCAAATCCAACAACATATCAGTTTCTGCCACTGAACTGCAAATCAATACTAATGGCATTGCCAAATCCATTACACCTATGGCCATGACAATCGCAGATAAGACATCATCTTTTCAAGTTATATTTGGGAAACCATACTTCTAGAAAAGACAACTGACATTTCTTAGGTTCTATGTTAAACTTGGAAGGATAGAAATTAGAATCTTCACAACATCAGTGAAAGGTCACTGAGACATGTGCTCCTATTCAGAATTCAGATACAGCAGCGGCAAAATGTCAAGAATATTCACTCGTTTTGAAATCTGACATTGCAAGAGCAAGAGAACCAGAGAAAACTCATCCAACAAACTTCATTTGAATATAACTCAGACAACATAAACAGCTTAACTTTAGCATTTAACCCAACAATTCAACAAGCACTATTATTGAAATTGGATATATCAAAATAGAATGAAGAAGATGAGTTGGTTTACCTTTCATTTCTCCCTTGGGATTGACAATGACACCAGCATTATCTGCAAACAGACAAATAAACCCAAACTAAGTTTCACACAGAAACAAATAAAGACTAGCACTACACAGTAATAACTAAATCCAATATACCAGCAGACAGGTAACACAATGCAACAGATAAACAACAGCATCATGCTGTTTAAAACTGGCGAATTTACATTATTCTATGCTTCACATTAAGAGTCCGACAACAAAAATCAGCTACCCCATTATCAAAAGAAGCAAGAACGACAAACCAAAAATGGAAAAACTTAAAAAAAGAGAGAAAGAGAATTGTTTGAACCTTCGAAGTACATGTAAACCCCGTCCTTTCTACGCCAAGGCTTGCGTTGTCGGACGATGACAGCTGGCAACACCTTCTTCCTCAAATCGGGCTTTCCTTTCTTAACGGTGGCCATGACCATGTCACCGACACAAGCCGATGGTAGCCTGTTGAGACGCCCTTTGATTCCTTTCACTGAAATGATGTAGAGGTTCTTGGCTCCAGTGTTGTCAGCGCAGTTCACCGTCGCTGCGACAGGTAAACCCAGCGACATCCTGAACTTGTTCCCGGCACTACCTCCCCTTCCTGTTGCAAAGTAAAAGAAAAAATGCTAAGATCACCGCGAGTTTTGCTTGGTGATTTGGGAAAATGAGTGAAAACCTTTACCTCGCTTCGACATTTTGGATTGGCTCTTCTCTGCTCCGCCGGTTCTCTACACCTCTCTTTTTAAGCGAGGGTTGCTTCCTTATATCGCTGGCCTAGGGTTTATTTTAGAATTTTGGACCGTTTGGCTACACTGCCGCCGTTGCCTATCCAGGTTTTCACTTTTCTAAGAAAAAAACGCAGCGTTTTATCTAAAGGCCACTAAAAGGATATCATTTTACGAATTTATCCCTTCCTTCTTCCTCAAAAATAATTTAAAAAAAAAAAAAAGAGATAAGCATTTGACAGAAGATAAAAAGAAGAGAGCAATGCACTGCATTTCGCTCCCCGGCTCTCACCGCCCGGTGCTTTCTCCACCCAAAACTTCCTTCAAATTGGCATGCCACGTCAGCCCTAGGATGTCCCTCAACGACAACAATAACAGCAGCAGCAGCAGCAACGGTTTCAATCTAATCGACAACATCTCCAAGCTCCTCTGGGGTCCATCCCTACCTCCAGGCCTCCTAATCTCCACCGTCCGTACCGCATGGACCTCCACGTGGCAGATCATGATGTCCCAACTTGCTCCCTCCGATTCCTCCGGCGGTTACACTAGGCCTCCCTCAAAGTTCCGGCTCTCCCGCCAAAACCCAACCGCCAAACTCCACCTCTACGTGAGCCTCCCCTGCCCATGGGCCCACCGGACCTTAATCGTCCTTGCCCTCAAGGGCCTCGAAGAAGCCGTCCCCGTCTCCATCGCAGCCCCCGGTCTCGACGGCTCATGGGAATTCAAAGATATCCCCGACAAGGATAAAAGTAGGGACCAAGATATTCTTGTTCCAAGCAGGGACAAGGTTAACGGGTTCCGGAATTTGAAGGAGGTTTATAAGCTGAGAAAAGGCGGGTATGATGGGCGGGCCACAGTGCCAATGCTGTGGGACATGGAGAAGAAAGAGGTGGTTTGCAATGAGAGTTATGATATTATTGGGTTTTTCAATTCGGGTCTAAACGGGTTGGCCCGCAACCCTGGTTTGGATCTCTCGCCAGTGGAGCTGAAAGGGGAGATTGAAGAGTGGAATCGTGTGATTTACCCGAATGTTAATAATGGGGTTTACAGGTAAAAAGTGAAAACCATGGTCGGGAAAATTACATGCAAGCTTAAAATTTACCTCAATTTTGTTATTAGTCGCAATTTTTCTATGGTATAATTGGGATGATCTTAATACTTTGTAGATGTGGATTTGCTCAAAGTCAAGAGGCATATGATGTTGCAGTGAATGGTTTGTTTACTACCTTGGATAGGATCAATGATCACTTGGGTAGTTCGCGGTACTTGTGTGGTGACAGATTGACTCTTGCCGATATTTGCTTGTTTACTACATTGATTAGGTTTGATCTCGTCTATAATGTTTTGTTCAAATGCACGAAGAAAAAGCTGCTCGAGTTTACCAATCTTCATGGTTACATGTGCGATATTTATCAGGTATCGGTTGGTTAACTGAATGCCTGCTGTAATTTGTTCAAATATTGCTGTTAATTGGAATTTAGAAAAACATAAGCTTATGTCTCAACTCTCAAGTGAAGAAGTTCCCATCATACAATTATGTATGATCTCTTGCATTTACCAAGGACTGGTTGGATTTTGGAGAGGCAATTGGGAAAAGTTTTCACTTGATTGCCATCTCTGTGTCCATTGCAAATTTGGGTACAAGGCAGAGCATTAACGCTTGATTCTAGGATCTCCACCCAAATCTCACAACACCTTAGCCACTCAAACTAAGCCTAAGTTGCTCGTTGACCTAAAAGAATTAGGTGATTTTCAGTTGCCTGGCAGTTTAATGAATCCTGAGTTATGATGGATCATTTCATTTCTACTACTGCATGAGCTTAAGTTAACCTCAAAGGCCTTGCTAAATTTGTCACTTGCTGTTCTTCATATTTGGGCGAATTAGTTGTTAATGCTTGTATAGAGCATCTTGTATCACCTTTTGAATGCAATAATTGTATATTCCTCTTTACACAGGCTAGTCTGTTTTTAGGAGTGAAGCATGGCATTCATTAGGATTCCTGTTTTTGTTAAATTGTTAGCGGCTTCAAAATGTGCAGCATGTAGAATTATAATGTTTTATTTCTTATCAGATTCCAAAGGTTTCTGCCACTTGCAATTTTCCGGCAATTATGGATGGTTATTACCAGATGCTTTTTCCATTAAATCCTGGCAGCATTCGACCTGTTATGCCCTCAGGCTGTGAGCATGAATTCCTCTTGAGACCTCACAACAGGGAATCGATATCTTCAGTAGGTAAAAGTATACAACATGTTTTCTAAGTAGGCTCCTAAGTCCTAACACATGTAAAGCTGTATAAGCATTGGCATGTAATGTTAATTGTAAAAATATATTCATCAAATAAGAAATTATGTGAAATTTCCAACTAGTCATTTCCTTTGAAACCAGGTTTTTTTTTTTTTTTTTTGTTAATATTTTAAGTTATCAAAATTTGAGCTCTAAATCTATCACTCTATCAATAGATCACGTGACTTGAACAAATTGCATTTTGAGAACCGAACAGTAAGACAAATTTATATGGCCATACTATGAAAAATGTGTAGTGACGGTCAATTCAATGGTATTTTAACTTCTGTTTTTCTCCTTTTGGTACTTGTAGTATATGAAGCTGTACCAATACCAGCATCTAGTTTTGAGAGCATGTCAGAGGTTACATTGCCATAGGATAAACAAGAAAAATCTGATGTTAGATCAGAATGACATGATTAATTATTGTAGTAAGCAGCAGTGCAACAACAAAGTTGGCAACGTTTTGTTTGTGATCAAAGCTCATCCTTGACAATTAGACTTCACTCTGCTAGATCAACTAGAAATCCTCAAGTTGCTCAAATGTTTATTGATCAAGATTACAAGAACGAAGGGAAAGAATAAATGAATGAATGATTCCAAAAAAAAAAAAAAAAGGGATGGGCCAATCAATCAAGGCTCCTTCTTGTGGTTCCATTTCGAACACAAAAACATCGGGATGGCCTCTTTAGGCAACAGTGTAGTCTGTTTGAACGTGACAAAGAATTAGCTGCGGAAGGCAATTCAAAGGAAAATGACACCAAAACAGCATGTATAAATTGCCACTGGAATTCATTGTTCAGACAATTTGGTCCCAGTATTCAACCCCTGCTGTTGTAGAACAGCCCTAAAACAGAATGCACCATTTACCTGGTTTACTGTACCTAGTATCATTAGACAAAAAGTAGTAAATAACCCATGAGTTAGCAAAAATCCTGAGGGTTTGACCTAGAGACTTAATCAAGGCAACTAGCATTTGCTTTTTGCAGCAAGTCCATTTACAAAAGTGCCTCAGAGCTCTATCAATCTAAACCATGCAAAAGCATCCCAAAACGACTGTCTTGACCAAGAATCAGTTCATCTGGTGATTATTGCAGATTTAGACCCTGCACCATTACAAAGAAGATCCTCAGAACCAGGTCAGTTACAAAAACAACCAAGAAGAAACACAAGATCACCAATTATTGATCAGACAATAAAAATTAAAAGCATCTCCAATTCTTAGGGGAGTGAAAAGACTGATTTTTAGCATCAAAGCTTTCATTGAATCATATTCCACAGGGAAAGTTTAGCACATGAAAGACAATTTCAAATTTTTGTGAATGGATATTGTTGTTGCAATTTCAAAGGGTTAAAATAGTTGTCAATTTTTTATTTCACCATGAGATGATATGAAAAAACATAGTCTAAAGATTCTACATGACAATTACTTACTAGTTGAACGTTTCATGTTCCGGCAAAACTTACTGCCACATCTGCACCGGAATGCCTTAATAGGATGATCAAGATCATCAAAATCAATACCATAATCCTGCAAGCAGAATATATAGCCTCTTAATAGGGACAGACAAAATAATATGATAATGCATGAGCTGATACCAAGTTTTCTTCTAAAACCACATATGAAGAACATATAATTGCTCTAAATCCAATATATCCAAACAAAAATAGCATTGTTCAATGTCAGAGGACACTCATGCATGCATATGCCATATAAAATGCATTAGAGCCAGCAAAATTAAGCAGACTATGTTACAGGAAACAAGCAAAAGGCGTATATATCATGCAATATTTTATAATATACACCAAATATAGACTACTAACTTTATCGTGCATGATTCAGGAATAGCTGAAAGTAGTCTCAGTGGGAAAGGAAACCTTCCTCCTATATTGCAATAGGAGGAAAATAAAATGATTACTAGGTAAGATTGACAAATAAGGCTAAATGAGAATTCATACTCACTTGAACATGTTTAACTGGATGATACAATGAAAGTTTGGGACAGTCGTTAAGACCATATCTATGGTATTCCTGACAAACACACAATGGGCACTTTCATTGAAAAAAAGAAAAAAAAAGCACTACAAATTTCCTTTCGCTTCGATGGAGCAGAATTTTGCAGCAAATTATAACTTATGGAACCTAAAATGAATTTTGAATCCAGCCACAATTCATTTTGGCATCCCTAATAACAATATATAACAGTGTGACCCCAATTTACTCATCCGAATGTACAAATCCAAGTCAGAGGGGGAAAGAAGAAAAAGCTCTATAAGTCAACAGTGGTTCACTAATCATTCCAAGTCAACGTGCTCATAGAAACGTTCTTGAGTCAAATCCCCAAGCAAATAGCTCCTTTGCAGGTAAGGAAACAAGCTATCACCAAATGGAAGGGGGATGGGGACAGGTAAGGTTAGTTATAATAACTGATTGAATCTCAAAAAAAAAAAAGTGCAAGTCCATCTCTTCTCATGCAAAGTCGACAATCTGATCATTACTTTCATTTCTTTTCTTGTTTAACCTTATTAAAAGCAACAAATATCAACTACAAGCTTCAGAAAAATATAACTATAAAAATCACTCACCCAAGTCAGCTCTTCAAGTGCATGAACTTCTCTTGTTGTGAAGAAGGCTAGCTGCACACAGTAAATGCTCAATTAGACTTGCTATTGCAAAGAATTGAAGCCAGCAAAACAAATAGGACTAAGAAGGTGGAAGAAATCAGTATTTCATACATGATAATAATGAAGATCTGGAGTCTCCACTTCAACAGGAATTTCAATCAAGTTTGCATCTAAGCATCTAGCAACACAGAAAACAAAAAAAAAAAAAAAAAATCAAACATTTTAAATCTCAATTTATTCAAGGTGTTCGGGTATTTCTTCAAATGCATTTGCCATCATGTACCTTAACCTATAACAATAATTAAAACAAAACCTCAATAATGTGAATTAAGTCAATGCTGCAGGTAACCTTTCATATCTCCCGGTGCTAATATCTCAACTAATGTTTGTACCCCAATAAAAAACAACTGATCACCCAACTTACACCACCTATGGAACCTTCATTAATGTCATCAAAATCTATTACAAATGTGACAAAACACACAACATAGGAATAGATGCACAAGCAATTGAAAGTTTCTTAAGAACACAGCAGGAAAAGTCTAATATACAACATATATACAATTACCTATGATTGATGAACCTAGCAACATTTCCATAACATGTGGCATCTAAACAGAGGGCTTCTTCATCCTTAGAAACTCCCTTCAACCCCCAATAAGCATCCAGCAAGATTGGACAAGTATGTTTCTCTATGTTCCTTCCGTACAACTCAGAGATGGTGAGTATTTCTCCAACAAACTCACAAACGAAAGCTCCTTTGGGAAGCTTCTCTATGGTTCTGAGGCCCCAACCTTTTCCCTCAGGTGTTAAAAACACCTAAAATTCAGAGTAAATTAGTCATGGAAGACATAGGCGTTTACAAAAGCAATTCAAAGGTTACTGCCCTAATTTTTAAAGCAACTTAACGATAACAAGGACCAGAAAATGTACAAGACTGGGATGAATCAAACCTGCAATTTGCAATTTACACCTCTCTGCACCACCCTATTGCCACACTGCTTATTGCAGCCACATTTGCTCCAACATTCTTTGATAAGTTTTCTCTTTAGGTGACCCTTACAAGGTTCTGGAAAGTCATCCTTCTTTGATCTCTCAAGGGGGCACTCTGTACAATTAAGGAGACATTGTTGTTGAGGATCATGAGTCATAGAAATACACTCTTCTAAGAAGTCCTCCCTGACAACACCTGCTGAAGTATACACAAATTTTCCCCCAGCTTGACAAGCACATGCACAAGGCTGCTGGGACAAGAGACAATCCCCAAAACATGTCGGACAACAACTTTCATCTCCAATTCGAGAAAGAGAAAAACTAACATGAGCATTTTGAAATACCAGATTCTCTGATATATATTGAAACGGTGGTGGAAAATCTTTATTAATTTCATTTACCCATGAAATTTCAACTTCTTCTTCTCCTTTGGTTATGTCACTTGCATCATGAAGCCACCTTAATTCATTAGGTGTAAGTTGATGCGGTGAAACAACAACCAATTCCTTCCCCCCCATATTGTCAACACATCCATTTGCAGAGAACTGAACATTGAAAGATCCATTTAACATCCTAGCTAGCAAGAAACCATTTTCCTTATTGCTCTCGGCATCAAGAGCATCCCTTGCAGGAGATTTGTTTAATACATCAAGAGCTGGCATCACATTACCTTCCTGCGATTGATTAGAGGAATTAGTTGCCAATTCCGAGATGCACTCACACATATCACTCAGAATTTTGATGACATCAAAATTTGGGTCAATAAGTTTATATGATCGGAGACATTTCTGCTCCATCAGTTCTCTTAGTTCATCTATACTAGGCAATTGGAAATTTGGTCTTCCAAGAGCAGAATTGTAGCTTAGAGAAATCTTCACCTCTCCCAATGGCGATGAGGCAATTTCTAGGCTAGAAGAATTTTCACCAGGAACAGTAGCAAGATCACAACTGTTACGCCTCTCACTCGTTGAAGCTGAAGCACCAGCACCTACAATTTCATCTGCATGAAGGGATTCTGCAGGCTCCTGCCAATTTGATTTTCCAGTTGAAAAATCCCCAATTGGCAAATCTCTTCCGCTTAAAGAATCTATTAAAAAAGTGTTATAGTAAAATAAATAAATAAAGGATTAAAAATGTTAGAAAAATAGAAAAAAAAAAAAAAACAATTTAAGAAAAAATTAAGGTACAATTTTAATATCCAAATGTAATAGTTATAAATGCTAATTAGCATATTCTCTATCTCAAAAGTTACTTCACATACAACAAATTAGAACATGATTTTATGCTCCACATGCACCCACAAAAATAACTACCAACAACCTAAGTATCCTTATACATTTCAATTGACAAAAAGTCCCCAGTATGTTATGCTGCATCCCTAACATGTGCAGCAAATTTTAAATGTATGGCAGCAAGCTGCATCTTGGAGAAGAAATCACTAGCCGAAAGAGTGCATGCTTAAAGATCAAGAGGCCAAGTGAAGCAATGTAAAAATAAATTAAATAAAAAATAATGGATCTTCACTTCGAAATACTGACTCATCATTTTCTGAAGTACAAACATGTAACCACTAAAACAACATATAAAAGCATTTCAAAGTACAAACCATTAAATCATACAACTCAAAACGTTGTAAGTATATTGAATTCCTTGTCTGACAATGATATAAACCAAAACTATAATGTAAAAGAAGCAGTAACATGTATAGACTGCAAATTCATTAGTCTATGGAGAAAAGCATATAGATGCATTACATCTCTACTTATTTTTCCTTTTAATACAGACAGAAACCACAGACTCCACATCTGTCTCAATTACTATGTGGAGAAACCAGCTGAAATCACGAATGTTTAACACCAAGAGATTATGCTCAGAAAGTTAACAGGTTGAAAAGTATAGAGGTCTAAATACTATGCCAAAATTCATGGGACATATACCAACATGGCGCACTACCATTGTTTTTTATGCAATTTTTTCTTGTTGAGTCAACTGGAAAAACCTGATGACAAACCATGAATATGGTGTCCCTGATTTTTTATATATATATCTACCCTCAAGATCCACTAAAAAGTGCACATAGAAGGGTTAAATGTAATTAAAATGACCATCAAAAGAAGCATTTCCACTATTATTAAACGTTGGCTCCTGAATGCCGTATGAATTAACTCAAGAAACATATAAACAATCCACTATAAGCCTATCCATTTCATAGTACAGATTACAAAAATTTTCATAACATGTAAATGGACTAATCAAAATTAGCTGCTAGAGAAATGCCACAGGGCTAATCAAATATCGATTTGAAATGAAAAGCAAATTGACGAAAAAAATGCCATTCATATGGGAATTACAATAACTTACCTGGATGAATAACCGCAATAGGAACCTCATCCGCTGGAATGTCATCAGTAAATGGCTCTTCCTTGGGTATGATCAGTGCATGAGTATCAGGCACCTTTTTCTTTGGAATAATACCAGGCTCAGGTGCTGGATCTTTAATGAGCAAGGTGGGAGATGCTCTCTCAAGGCCGTTCCCATTGGAAGCAACATGAGGTGACATAGGTTCCTTTCCTTTGTAGCTAACATGCATTTGAGATGAATGTGAATTTGGTTCTGATCTTTCTAGCACAGGCCTAGGTTCTACAGTTAGCTTCCCTTTATTCCTACCACCATGATGGGGTGAAAAAGGAGCAGGAGAAGCAGGCTGATGTGAAACAGGACCAGGTGAAGCTGGCAGGAAATCTGTCCTTGTATTTCCAACACCGCATTGAGGTGACTGCAGTTGCAAAGAAGCAGGAGGTAGTTCATCCTCCTCAATTTTAGGCTTTTTTAAAAAGGTTCCAGCAACATTTGAGCTGCCGTTTGTATTAGAACACGATGCCAGACCTTCTTGGTTTTTCAAGCGTGCTCTTTTCAAGGGGCGTACTAGCTCACCAGGTATTGAACCTTCTTCCTCAATATCTTCCTCTTGCTAGGTAAGACAATCAAACCATATTAGTTGACACCATACGGACTATAAAAACAAGAAAGAAGAAAAATTACACAGGACCAGCATAAGTTAGAGAGATAAGTCACATACATTGCATTTCTTGTCTTTTTTAGGTTCTGACACCCGAAAAGCAAGACCAGTATCAAAAACACATCAAGTGTAAAACTTAAAACTAAACCAAAACAGATTATAAAGGAAAATGTACCTTACTATCCTCCTCATCAAAGATAGCATCAGCAAGAACTCTATAATTTTCCGATTCAATTAGCTCCCAATTTTTGTCATAAAGCTTTAAAAGCTTCTTCAATACCGGTTTCACTTTTTCCTCGCTAATTCCCAGTTCCTTCATCGCGCGGAAGGCCCGCCCAATTCTGGGGTTTGGTGCCATGATGCTTTATCAGCTATCAGTTTTGCAGGCTTGCAAACACCAATATTTAAACCTTTCCCATTTTGGGGAGAGAAGGTAGGCAACAAGAGTCAGTCCAGGAATAAAAGTAGAAAAGTAGCACTAGGAAATTGAAAACACTGTAATTTTTTTAAGTATTAAGTTAAAAAAAAAAAAGAATTCTGAAAGATAAAAATTGGCATAAATAACTAACAAAACCAATGACTGACTTACCTTAATCAGAGTGGGAAACAAACACTTCTTTTTGACTTCTGAAGTCTACAACTAAATTAAGATACTTGAACAATAATCCAAAGGCGAAGATCCCCATATTTTCAAATCATTTCATTCAAGTTCAAGAAAGAAAGCTAAAAGCTAAAGCCCCAATGATTGCATGCAAAAAGGAGAAGCCGGTTAAACTGTATATCTTATCAAGCCAAACCCTTGAAGGTTCAAATCAGTCCTTTAGAAACCTAGACAGAAAACAAGGCAGGGATTAGTTTCACAAACGAAAACTAAAAAAAAAAAGTTTCTTTTTTGTTCCCACATTTTTTTATTTAAATTTTAAATGACTCTTGAAACGCTAAAAAACTTTAACTTTCTAATTTCTTCTTTTTACAGTGTCGTTTCAGAGACCAAACAACTGCATTTCACCGAGCTTACTGCATTACCAAATTCCGTCCAGTTGAACACTTACTAGAAAAAAAAAATCTAGCCGAAAGTTTCTCAGCAAACAAACAGAACTTAAGCCAAGAAATCATCAAAAGCAAGTGCAATGGCGAAAGAAAAACAACGCAGGAAGCCGAGAGATACAGAAACGAAGCGTTTTTTGGATTAAAATGTAAAGACGTTTCACATTAAAAACGAAGAGTCATTTGAAAATTTTTGAGAGAAAAATAAGTGTAAAAAAAAAAGAAACTGAAAATCAAGTGATTTTGAAACGAGAAAGAAAAAGAAAGAATCGGAGAAAAAGCATACCAGAAATATTCGGTAAGAGAGTGATCTTGGCAGAGGAGAGTGAAAAAAGTAAACAAAACATTAGGGTTTCGAGTTTTTGATTTCTCAAGAAAAAAACATTTTCCCTTTTCAAAAAAAAAATTTGAGTTTAATTAGCTATGTAGCGCGTGTAGACACGCAATACGGCTAGCCTCTGAGCGGAGAACGAAAGGGTGTTGGGTCCATGTAGCGCTGCGGTTGCGACTTGCGAGTGCATTTAACGCAAAGATGATGAAAAGTGGAGGGAGGAGTGATACCAGGTGCTTTGATGAGGAGCCAGGCAGTCAGCTGAGATGGGCGAATTATGCCATCCAGCGCGGGGTGTGATACGTGTAAAGGGACGGATTGGGTCAGTTTTGGATTCGGGTTACCCATTTATAAATTTATAGGCACAATTTGGAGCGATAAATTTGAATTAAATTGAATTTGATTTAATTTTTAAAATAATATATAAAATTATAAATTTTAAAATTTTAATTTGAATTCAAATTGTATTTATGTGTAATTTGAATTAAATGTTATAAGTTTAGCTTGATTAAATGATTTTTAAATTTTAATTTTTTGTTTTTATTTATTATTTTTATATGATTTTTAATATATTTAAATGGATTTAAGTATAAATTAATTATTTTATTTTATATAAATTAAATATATATAAAAATTAACAAACATATATAATTTGATTTAATTTAATTTTTTTTATTTTTTCACTTTTGATTCAAACTCAATATATATATATATTTTTAATATCCAAATTTAATTCGAACCAAATAAAAGAATTTAATTTGAATCAAATCGAATATTATGATTTCAAAATAATTTTCAATTTCTTTCATTTTTGTTCACCTTTTGTGGAGACTCGTACTAATCTATGAGATATTATTCACTTTAATCTCAAAGTCTCACGATTTTGTCTCACAAAATGAGTCTCATAAGTCTGAATTTAAACCATAATATATATTATAACACAAAGTATACAGATCCACCAAATCACTCTAAATATTAGGATTCTAAATGTGACTTTTCACCGTGTAACATTTAGTTTTTGTTCGATCGATAATCTAACTCTTATACTATTTATAGAGACTGACATTCAACTCACAAAATATTATTCGCTTTAATCCAAAAGTCTCATAGTTTTATCCAACAAAAAATATTTTACAAGTTTGAATTTAAGTATTTATATATATATTATAGCAAATCTTTAAACTATTCTAATATGAAATTAAGGCATTACACCTTTAACTACAACCCATAAACACAAAATATGCTAATTCACACAAAAAAAAAGGTAAATATAAAAACCTTTAAACAAAAATTAAATAATTATTCAACCCTTTTTTTTTTTTGTAAAATATTTATTTTCATCTAATTGAATCTTTAAACATATTTTTGTACCTAATTAAATCTTTAAATATTTATTTTCATTTAATTAAATTTTAATTTAATGAAAATAAGTATGGATGATTAACCAATTTTCGTTTAATAAAAACTCAATTTGTGAAAATAAATATTTGAAAACTTAATTGAGTATAATAAATTTATTGGTTTGGATAATTTTTTTTTTAAGTTACAGTTATAATCAATTAAGTAATAATCAAATGAATAATTAATTATTATATTAGAATCAAATTAAATAATTAACTAACAAATTAAATATAATTTAAGAATTAAACCCATACATTTAAGCCTATGATTTTATAGTTCTATAAATCTCCTCCTTACTATAAGTGTATATGATACATTAGTACTCTTAAATTATTCGGATTCAATTCGAATAAAAATCGAATTCAAGTCGATTATTATCGAATCGAGCTTGAGTTCGAGTAGCTCAACTCATTGATCGAGCTAAATTTGAGTATTTTTATACCTAACTCGAATAGCTTGCGAGCCTAATCGACTTTTTATATTTAAATATATTTTTATTATTTTAATTAATAAAATATCTTAAACTCGAACTCGAACTTTAGCTCAAGTATAAATAATCAAACTTTTATCAAATATAAGAATTGAACTTTTTTTACATGTTAATAGAGCTTAATTAAGCGAGTTCGAGTAGCTCAATTTTCATCTCGAATTGAGCTTGAGTAAGAAAACTAAAATTCGATCGAGTTCGAGCCGATAATTTTAAGTCGAGCTTGAACTTAATACTATATTAACTCAAACTCGATCGATTACATCCCTACTCCTTACCATTAAACCAAATACACACTTCATAGTTCTAGAAATCTCTTTCTGACCTAAGCCAAAAACTCGTTGAGGATGATTACCTAATTTTAGTATAATAATTTTTGTATACTTGTGTCAAAAAAATAAGAATATTAAAATTCATTTACACGATTTTGTCAATTACTGTTAAAATTTAAATTTTAAATTTATTAGATACCACGTCATAAGACTAGTTGCATAAACCAAATTAAATTTAATATTTATTTTTTATAATTTAATTAAATGATCATTATAACTCATAAAAGACATAATAGGTTTCTTTCATTAACTTAATTTTTGTTCTCTTTCATTAACTTAATTTTCTTTTTTTAACATACATACGACAAATAATTATTTTTTTAACATAGATATAACAAATAAGTATTAATAAAAATATATAATTCAATTCAATTTGATTTTTTTAATTTTTTTATTTTTTGATCTAAATTAATATATATATCTAATATTTAAATTTAATCCAAAACAAATAAGAAAATTTCAATACAAATAAAATCGAATAGTATAATTACAAAGTACTTTTTGATTTTTTCAAAATTTTTCTCACCTTTAGGTACGGCCCAACAAATACAAAATATGCTAATTCATACACAAAAAAGGTAAATATAAAAACCTTTAAATAGAAATTAAATAATTATCAAAGTTTTTATTGTTTTATTGCAATCAATTGAAATCTTAAATATTTATTTTCATCTAATTGAACCTTTACATATATATTTTTTACCTAATTGAATGCTTAAACATTTATTTTTATCTAATTAGCTTTTGATTTAACAAAAATAAGTGTGAATGGTTAACCAAATTTTGCCTAATAAAAGTTTAATTTGTGAAAATAAATATTTGAGAGCTTAATTGATTACAATAAAATAATAAATTTGTATAATTATTTAACTTTTTTTAAGTTATAAACATAATTAATTGAGTAATTAATTATTATATTATAATCAAATTAAATAATTAACTAATAAATTAAAATATAATTAAATAATCAAACCTACACACTTAAGCCTACGACTTTTTAATTTTAAAAATCTCCTCATTCCCATTAAGCTAAAAACACTTAAAACACATTTACATGATTATGGTAATTATTATTAAAATTTGAATTTTAAAATTATTAAATATCATATTTTAAGATTAATTATATAAACTAAATTAAATTTAATATTTATATTTTTGAATTTAATTACATTGTTATTATAACTAAAAAAAAAGAATATTTTTCTTTCATTAACTTAATTTTATTTTTTTAACACTGATATAATCAATAATTATTTTTTAATACAAATATAACAAATAAGCAGTAGTTTTTTTGTTAGTAGTACTGTTAAAAAGGATTCAAAATCATTTTTAATTATCTAATGTTTATTAACTGAATGGTAACTTAATTTGAACTCTCTAATGTTATTTCTCGATAAATATTAATAAAAAATTTTCAACTTCCTTTTTTTGTAATTTTTCCTCTAAATCAAGGTATAAAAATAAAAATTACAAAAAAAATTATTGAGTTTCCACATCTTTTAATTTTTTTAAATTAAAAATTTATTCAAATAAAAAAATATTCTGTTTCATTACTTATTTTATTTTATTTTTGTTTCCCTTTCCCTCGATCTAAATAGTGTGAATGTCTGCGTCTCATGCTAAACTCCCATTTTCCATGCTCGATTGCTTGTTTTGAGAAAATTCGATCCTGTACCTAAACCTCCCGTGCACATCTGGGCCTGATCTCCCTAGCTCTCACGCTAATGAGTTCTCTTGCTAGTCTTTGATAAACTAGTGTGCAAATCCAACACTAGAACTTAAGACGATTTAGTTTGATGAACGCGAGTTTTGTATTCGTCGGGGCGTTAGTGGTTTTGGGCCGTTGGGCTCAACTTCCTACTGTGTAATGTTGGGCTGTGCCTGTGGAGGTTAAGGCTAATGCAAAGCTCTAGCAGCCATTTCTGGATAACATACACTCTTCCAACTTCTTTTCACGTATGAATATTAAAAAAATTTAAATGAACATATAATTTTTTTTAATTTAAAAAATATAATTTTTTAAAGAAACTTAAATGAATTAATATAGTCTTTTTTTTAATTTAAAAAAATATAAATTTTTTATTGGGGGTGTGCACTGCGCTTAATTGCTTTACAACTTGAATTAGTTGATAAATTTAAATTAATTCCATTTTGAGTCTTCTACTTTATTTATTGTTTGATAAATTGAAAAAAAATAAATAATAAAAAATTAAGTATTACATTTTTAGTTTTAAAAAATTAAATGCTGAATTTATGATATAAAAATTGTTTGATATGCTATTAAAAATTAAATGTTTTGTAGAATTTTTGTAAATCTTTTATAAAAATATATAATTTTATAATTATTTTCAATTGATAAACATAAAAAAAAAAAAGAAATTAATGCAATTAAATAATATTTTTCTAAATAAAATTGACTTAATACATTAATACATTAAGTAGCTTAAGCTACTTAACATTTTCAATACTTTTTTAATTAAAAATCTTTCATTAAGTAGTTGTCAAAAATAATTCATCATACGCATTAAAAATGTAAAATCATTGAAAATCAGTTAGTGTATGGTATTGGGTAACAGAGGCATTTTTTATTTTTTTTCTTAAATAAAAAATGAAAAATAAGAGTGACAACGTTTTTTATAATGAAAAATAAAAATGAATTCAAATACAAATACAAAAATAAAATATGTTTTCAATTATGAAAATAATGAATACTCATTATTTTTTGCTTATGTTTTCCAAGTTAAGAAATTAGCTTCATATTTAAATACTTTTGGAAATTATTAATTAATAAATATATATGATATATTTATAATTATATTCTATTAATAATAATTATTTCCATGATTTTTTTTCTTATTTTTTTAAAATAATTTTTGTTTTCATCCATCAAACACATTTAAAACAAAAAACAAAAAACAAAAACAGTCTTCTAAACAATAAAAAAAAAAAAAACTCAAATCAAACAAAACCTAATTTTTCACATTTTAAAAATTTTCAATAATTTATCATGCTTTTGTTGTTTGTTTGATGTTTCTAAAATAAGTATTGAAAAAACGTGGTAAACATGAAGGTTAGACAAGAGCTGGAAATAT